ACGCATGGTGGCTATAAAAAACATGGAAAATGAAATTTGAACCTAAAATTTTTAGCTAGAAACCTAAAAGACTAAAACTCCTACTGTTGAATCATTTTTTATGGTTATTTAGAGAGATATAGAATTCGAATGTGATTTTATTTTTTATGTGTCTATTTCTCTCTTGCAAAGTAATTTAATGGAGTTATTATTATTATTATTATTATATATTACTCATTTAATATTATAAAACTTATCGTTATTTAGATACTAACTTAGACTAATTAGGTAAGAATATAAATCTTATTAAAAGTTAAATAATATTTATAATAGACAATTTAATTAACTGAACCTATCAATGTCTGGATGTTGAAAATCACCCTCAAGATTCCTCAAGTCTCGATCGAGACTTATGACATCTTATCAATCTTAATCCAATAATATAGGTATATACACATCACTAACAGAAAATGTTCATTTTCAACACAATTATTGAGTACTCACACTCAATAATCTATATTATAATACGAAGATGAATCTCTCACCCTTCCCTCTATAGGTTCCTAACTCGTTATCTCAATTCAATCAATATCCCAAATCTTCAGGTTGATCAATTAAGAAATTCAAGTTCTTATTGATTAATGAAAGGTCTGGGTTTGATCGAAGTTTTGAAAGAACAGTGGCAATTTGAAGATGACCATAATGATGATTTTGTTGATTCAGTTTCAGGACCCATTCTCACAATGATTAAATTTTAATCCTATGATACAGGATTAGACACTGCAAACCAATAATTTTTTGTTCCTGTAAAAAAATCTAGGTGATCCCAAATTCAAATTGCTGAAATTTTTTTCACATATATATGTGTCGTATTCGTTAGGGAAAAAAAATAGCTTGATGAAATCTTGTTCCGTGAAATGAATACAAGAATTAGAAAAGTTTTGGTTAAAGCTCAGAAAAGAGAACAAGTTTCTTTGTCAGAGGGTTGCTCTAAAAGCAGTACTTACTCAACGACTATTCGTTTAAATTTATGAGGTGTCAGAAATCAAGATAAGGACTTGAGCTGGATTGTTGCATCTGGATTGTCGAACGTTTGAACAAACTTTAGCCAGTCTTTGTATTTTTTGGTCCTTATATTCCAATAAATATTTATATTTGGACCACGCTAACAAAATCTTACCGATTTGACCCAATTAATCGAGAACCTTAGAAAAATATTTATTTTGGTTGAAAAAAATCACTATCTTTAAAATGAATATAAAAAATCAATTGTTTTAGGTCCAGTTGAAACCCTAGAATAGATACTTCATTCTCCGTATGCTGCCTGCCATGAAATATCCCTAAAACATTTCAAGCACCATTTTAATCTCAAGGTATTATGTAAAATCAAGTTCAAACACTAAATCAAGATGATCAGGATTTGAAATTCAGCTCTGATCCATATAAAAGACCTCCACATGTCACCAGTAAATGGAAAAAGAGAACACGATAAATGATAAAATTTGAATTTTTATCCAATTTAATTGGTGTTAAAAAAAAAACCATGAAAGATGTATGAATACATGTCTCCGTATTTCATTTTTCTGACGAAAAAAAAAAATACTTTTCATCATATTTTTTTATAGTAAATACAATCTAGTTACTGACTTAACTTTTTTTTCAATGAAGTTACTACATGTCAAATTACAAGCTTTATCCTAATTATCAAAATAAATATATACGATATTATGAAAAATAAAAATTCAATAAAATCATAATAACATCAACTACGTACAATCATAGAAAAGTAATCACATCTGTAATCAATCAATCCAATCAAATAATAATTATCAAAAGTTCAGGAACTAACCTATTATTTTGATATGGAACTCATTCATATAATATCATATATCTATTATGATTTATTTTTCTCAATTTTTAGCATAAAATTGAGAAAATAAAATTTTCAAGAAAGAAAGAAAGAATTTTTTTATTATCATACTACCTCTATCCTAAAAAGATTGTTCCTATTTGACTTTTCACATAAATTAAAAAAGTCATTGATTGTTATGATTAGCATCTTTTCTTCGTACTTTCTTAAAATAATTTTTTTGAAGAATTATATCGGGATAATTTTTTTTTATAAACTAGATTTTAGTTAGGGATATATTTTTTTAAAAAATATATGACTTAAAGTTTGGACCAGATAAATATCTTGAGACACTTACAAATACAAATAGAAAGGTATATGATTTTTTTAGGACAAATGAAGCAATAAATATATGATACATATGAAACAAAAGTTTTAATTATTTTTTTAATAGATACACGTATATACCTATATATCTTAATCAGTTTAAATTGTTAGACTAATTTTGACCAATTTCATGATTTGATATTTAGAAATTTAATTGAAACAAATAAGTCAAAATTTTATTTTATTTTTTATAAAATACAATTATAGAAAAACTTTAATTTGATTGAGGATTTTTATAAGAAAAATAAAATACAAGAACCAGAGTGAATTTTTTTAAAAAATCAAGGTCCAAATTACACAATCAATGAAAGTTTCATGCTCAGAAATATGACAGGTGTTACTTTTCACAGTCACAATAATAACAACCGACAAAAGGATGCGATGCCAATGAAAAAGTAATGTAACATAGATAATATCAAGATAAAAAAATAGAAGAGGGACTTTTTAAACACAAGAGAAAAACATAAAGGGCTGTACAAAAGCAATAATGCTTTATTATTATTTTCTATGCTTTTTTTTTACCCTTTATTGTACTTTATTTTGCTTTCTGGTGCCTTTCTGGTCTTTATTGTTATCCCTTTATCGGCATGGGTTTCGCTTGGTGTTATCATGCAATCCTCTGGCTAATCAAAATAAACAAACAAACAAATAAATAATCAGACAGAATAGAAACTCTTTATCTTGTTCGACACCTGAAGGACCAACATGATGAACATGCAAGGTTGGGTGAATGAGACAGATCGGGGCACCGAAAAGCTTTGTGAAAAAAATCCTTTGTAATGTTTAACGGAATAGTTATATTATAAGTATATTAATTTTTAATTTTTTTAATCAAATATATAAATTTTATTTTTTTATTGAATATATTAATTTTTTTTTAAAAAATTATGAATCAAGTTTTTTTTTTTTTTCAATTTCTTCGATAATTGACAATATATCCTTTACCTTTTAAATATTTAATTTTAATTTTTTTTCAATCAAATTATAGATTTTAATTTTTTTCATTTGAATACACTAATAATTTACACTAATTTTTTAATAACTGTCGATCAATCATTTTTATTAATTTATTCGTTAAGTGATTAAGTGTCCGTTACTCTTAAAATACAAAATTATAGTTTTATCTTCTTTTTTTTTTTTTATTAGAGGGAACTTTTCTTCCAAATTATTTTACTATTTAAAAATTTAACCAAAAATTAAAAAAAAATATTATTTTTTAGATATAAATCCCCGAACTATATTCAATTAGATTTTTTGTTAAAAAATAAGTGGTTAACTTCAGGCATAAAAATTGAAAAAAAAAAATTCAAACGTGAGATTTTTTTATCAACAAAATTTCTTGCTTCAAAGTATTTTAAAAGAAAGTTTGTTCCAACAAAAAGATAAAAAAAATTGTAATTTGGTACTATAGGAGTAAAAAATACATCACCAGTTAAATTAACGAAAAAATTAACAAAACTACATAATTAAAAATTTTGAAAAAATCGGTATAATCAAATGAAAAATTAAAATTTATATACTTGATCTGAAGAAAAAGATAAAATTATAATTTAATATCCTAAAAGTAATAAATATTAGTTAAAAAATTAATTAATTATTTTTTAAAACTAGAAGGTCTATTTAATTAATTTTGCAAAAAGTAGAAAGACAAATTTATAACTTACTCTGCTTTATATATATAACTTTTAATATTAGATATTCAATTTATTATAAGCTCCACAGCAAATTAAGCACCGACAGGTTGCTGGTCAGGGATGAGATGATCTCCAAGCTCTTATTGTCCGTATAAATAAATAAATAAATATACTGTGGCTCTTAATAAGAACGTGGCTTTGAGTCAGCCACGTTCTGACAGAGAATATGAAGATGCTCTTGCGTTTCAACAGTATAAATTTTAAAACAGTTCTGGTACTTCAAAGTGGCACTGCTTCCTCTTCACAGTCAAAATGAGCACAGCCAAACTCACCGATGTTGACTTCCCACCAAATTCAAGAGATCCACCTCAGAGAAATTTGTTTTTTCTTTCCTTGTTTTTTTTTTTTTTGTTTTTGGGTGTTAGCGACTGATTGATGTATTTGGGACTCTCCCACCTTGAGTTGCCGTTGCTCAATATTTTTATGGTTTTTAGAGTTTTTTTTCTTCAAAAGCATTCAAAAAAATATTTAGTGAAATTTTAAAAACTATTAGAAAGCCAAAAGTCAAAAACTACTTCATAGAGCCTAGGAAACTATGACTCTACATGCTATATGCTATAGGTTTAGAATAAAACACAGGAGTTAGTATATTTGTTTGGAGTTGTTCAATGCTTAAATACATTGATTTAAAAAGCTTTGCTCTTTCTTTTTTGCTGAGTTTGGAAGGAAACGAACCAATAGTTGGCCATATGGAGTATCCAACGCAGGGGAAGTTAGATATAGAGCAGTTGAAATATAAGGATTAAACAAGCACTAAGGACATATGATGGATGAACCATGAAAAACGCATCTGTGTTTGTGTCAATTAGTCAAATTCAACCATTTAAATTGAAATCCACTTCAAAAGTCCAAGTCTTTCTCTCTAGAGTCTCTGTAATGGCCCATGTGTTTGGTACTCATGCAAGGGTTTTGCTATGGGGCCTCCATAGAAAGTCTTCTAGGTTTTTTTTCTTTCTTTTGCATGATATGACACATGTATTTGGGTTTGTATCCTTTTTTATGGAGGCTTTCTTTTCTTTTTTCTTACTATCTTTCATTAAACTACACTATAAATGTTAGAGGTTGGCGAGGGCTCTTGACCTAATGCTACCATGGAGGTTGATGATGGGACGAGAGAGGATAAAGAGGAAAAGGTTCGGTTATTAGAAGAAGGGTTGGATGAGATCATAACCATCAACCATCTTGGTTTCTGGTAGCAACATTAGTTGGTAATAGACCTTTCAACGCTCAAGCACTTATGAATACCATGCATATGAAATTTATGCAGGCCTAGCAAAGGCTTAGAAACAAACCAATTGAACAAGAATCTCTTTGTTTCTCAATTTTTCAATAGGAGGGATAAGGATAAGGTTCCTGAACAGGTTTAAGTGTTTAACAACATCCAAGGATCCATAATTTCTTTAGTATCATTGAATGTTGCTTAACAGGACAGTGGTGGGCCAAACCTTAAAATAAGGGGAAAAAAATCAAAGTGGGGTGTCCACTCCACAAAGAAGATTCCAAATCCAAAATGATTTGAGTTTTTAACTCCTTATTGATAAATCCCCTTCCACGAGATAGGTTTTTGGAAAAAAAGATCTTAATATGACCTCACTTTAAAAATTCTGCCACGATACGAGTCTTGGAATTTCTCGGAATAGAGAATAATTAGGAATTAATTATTTTACTTAAACACTTCTTCGATTGTGATATTTCACCGTTCAATAATTGCTGGATATATATATATATATATATGCATATAGCCTGTCTGCAAATACAGTGCTCACAACCAACATAACTATCTCACTTCTATATAGTTTCCAAAAGTTTCGAGAAGATATTACATGGAGAAAGAGAGCATGGAAGAAGGGCTTGCAGACATTACAAGGCCTCTTCTTCTTGGTGAAAGGGATGTCATCAAATGTAGCAAACCAACGGGTGATTCCTCCATTACTCCACTTCTTTTCCTCAGCTGCAGTGTTGCCTTAGGGGGCAACTTCTGTTACGGACTTGCGGTAAGCAGTAATTCGATTTTTTATGCATCAATAAACTCAGGTTTTGAGTAGTTTCTGTGACTCCAAAAAGGCCATCTATTAGTTGCAAAAACCCAAAACCCTTCGTTTTGGATAAAAATGGTGGGTAAATTGCAAACTTTTTCTTCATAAATCGGTGTATAAACTCATATATAATGCACATTGAATTACAAATTCCACGTTTAAACTACTTCAAGAAGCTCTAATTACTTTGGGGTAGAAGGTATGGATCATTTTCAATTACCTCCATAAGCCATGACTATACGTAGTTGTTAAATGTTGATCTGAAACTAACATGGACATTCCCGTTATTCTCAAGATCACAGTTCTTGTAAAGAGACTGTCTTAACATCTCTCAAGATTTCTTTGATTAAATTGGCAGGAGCATTTTTTATGTTTGCCAAATCTAATAAGATCAAAATTAATATTTCTTTGGCTGGATTGGCATTTTATTACTTTCCACTTTACCTGTTAATTTTCGCCCAAAATTAATTTTCTTTTTAATTAATAAACAAACCAAAAAACTGAAAATTCTTTTAAATTTAGGCTTCTTCAAAGTTTTTTAAGAACTGGAATGTGGCCGGTTCATATTTTTGAAGCTCTTGATGCTATTGTTTACAAGCTAATAGATTGTGTATGTGTAATATATATATATATATATGGAGGAATTATTCAATATATTGTGAAGTGAATTTTCTCCTCTTATAAAAATATAGGATCCATAAATTATTTTTATAATAAAATTTATATTTTTGTAAAAAAAAAAATATAACTCTTTCTATACCTATTAATTTATTACGTGTACTAAACTTGGAGAGTGTGGAGAGGACCATACCTGCATATTGGATGTTTTTTGTGTTTTTAAATTGTATCGAAATTCTTTGAACCTGATTGGCAGGCTGGCTATTCCTCAGCAGCTGAATTTGGAATGATGGCAGACTTGGGCATGTCTATTGCAGCGGTTGGTTTTATTTTGATATTATTTCTTGAATTTTAATTTATGCATAATTCGGGAAAATAATAAAAAAGCTGTCCTTGTTAAAATGGATTGGTGGGGTTGGATAAAAATTAACCATTTAATTTAGTCTCTAAATAAAAAATTACAACATGTCAAATATTTATTTTAATTAAATATATGTAAATTTTTCCAAATTTAGTAAAATAATTTAAATGTGTTGATGAATAGCATGTGACGATGAGATCATTACTCGGGGCTTGAAAAGAAAAGAAAGAGTCCCACATGACATCAACACATACCCACTCTCATGATCCCCACTTGCGAAGGCACGGTTTTTAAGGCTTGAAGGCCTTAAAAAAAGTGCCCAGGTATGTCAAGCTACTAAATTTGATGTTTTCTTTTTTAATAAATTATAAATTAGTTTTTTTTTTGAAAACAAATTGATTAGTTTTTTTTGTTTGAAATATTAATTAATTATTTTTTATTTTAATTTCGCCAATAACTTAAATTTTTTATAAATATTTTTAAGATTATTAATTTTTTATTTCCTTTCATCTGAAAAGTATTTCATCATTAATTGAAATTGGTATTTTGGTTTCCTCATGGTCTAGAAAAGTTAGCCAGGATTCTTGTATGGAGATACTTGTATGCCCATGGAGGAATTGCCTGTTGCTCTTCTTGAACTTGCCCAGAATGACTTTAGTCCTCTTGCTTCTATTTAATGAAAGTTCATGAATTTATAAAAGAAAAATATAGAAAAATGATATTTCGGTTTCTTAGTAATTTTATATACCTCTACGCAATTTTAATGTTTTGTATTTGGCTTGTTCTGCTTCCTTACATTTTTGCAGTACTCAGTTTTTGGCTCAATATTGACAATAGGAGCAGCGATAGGTGCTGTTTTAAGTGGAAAGATAGCGGATTTCGTTGGCCGAAAACGAGTACTTCTTTGTACACTTTGATTACCTTTTAAGTTTGTGTGTAGAAATAATCTCAACTCTTCCATTTAATTGCTCTCTGTTATTTCAAGCAGACAATGTGGTTATCCCAAATATTTTACATCCTGGGTTGGCTTGGAATAGCATTTGCTAAGGTTAATTCCCCCTTCTCTCCTCCTCTTACAACCCTAATTATTGCATAATTAATCAAATTAATACTTAATATCATCATTAGTGAGATGATCACTAACAGTAATTATTGAATTATGGTTTAAAGAATGCATGGTGGGTCGATATTGGAAGACTGTCAATTGGATTCGCAGCTGGACTTAATACTTTTGTGGTAACAGTACTTTGATTTTTTTGTTTTTCCAATTTCATATTTTCACTTTATATATAGTGGATTAACATTACTATCTGACATATAATAGACTACATTTTTCATAACAGGTACCTATGTATATTGCGGAAATAGCACCTAAGAATATTCGAGGTCGATTTATAGCAGCCAATCATGTAAGCTAATTAAATTGCCAATCTAGTACAAAATCACCCTGTCGGTTTCGTTTTTATTTTATTTTAAATTGTTATTATTATCGACTCCTGTTCTTTCCGAGCACAGTTGATGGACTGCAGTGGAATCCTGGTACTTTTCTTCCTTGGAAATTTTTTTCTTGGCGCACTTTGCCTCTATTAGGTAATGTTTTTCTTTTTGATAGTGGTTTTCTCTTAATTAATATAAAAGAACTAGTCTGTTGGTTAAATTCCATAGTCTTATTGTAATCTATCTTTGACCAAATCGAAGAAGTGGAGTTGGTTTTAGTGCATGAAAGTTGATCCGAACATGCCTTAAGCTGTAAAACTAAATAAAGAAAAAAAGAATAAGTTGTTTTCTGTTTTGTATTATTAAGTATTTATTTACTATTAATTTTCTTTCATCTAATCTTGTTGATGTTCAGCTATAATTCCATGTTTACTGCAAGTTATTGGTTTAGTCTTCATACCAGAGTCTCCAAGATGGCTAGTGAGTTCCATTTATGAATTTGTTTTACATTTTTTTTTTTTTGGTATTTCCATTTTGAGGCAATCAAAGTAATGTAAAATGTCTGGTTTAGGCATCAATTGGCCATAAAGAAGACTTTGTAGGTGCTTTGCAACGCCTTAGAGGAGCGAAGGAGGATATTTCTCAAGAAGCAACTGAAATCAAAGTAACATTTCAACTCCATATCCCAATGCAATTCTTAACTGGCACTTTCATAATTGTTTTTTTTTTAAAAAAAAAACCCATCCTTATTAATAATTTTCTTAGCTTCATCCTAAAAACATATTCATTGTTATATAATGTTTGTGCTTCCATTCGACTGCCATAAAGGTCAATTTGTAGTAGTTGTTAGCCAAACGAAATTGGCAAAAAATCAATCCTAAAATTGTCAAAAACTTTTTTAAAAATCCAAATCCATTAACCATAGTAAATAATTATTAACGATGATTTTTGGAAAATCTTGATGATTTTAAGATTCAGTTTTGTATTAATTAGCAGTTAAACGCTGTTAATTGTTGTTGAATGAAATGATGTTGATGTATAATAGAGGATAGATTTAGGATTAACTTGAAAAAAATAACAATTTGAGATGAAATTGAAAGACTTATTATACTTAGAATAATATATTTAGTTTTTTTTTACTAAGTGATGTGCCCATGTCCGAATATGATAGGTATAATTTTGTTGATAAGTGACACTTTAAATGCTAAATTAATGTGTATATCATGATTTTCTTATATGAAAAATGCCATGCATTCGTCAATTAACAAGTTATCGTGTTTTAATGCACTCTTTTTATATCTAAAAGAGCTGACATGTGCTTCCATTGTTTCATAGGATGCTATAAAAAATTCTCAACACAACCAAGAAGCTAGATTTCTAGACTTATTCCAAAGGAAATATGCTTATCCAATTATAGTAAGTCTTGGCTGAGTTTGTCCTCCTTTTATCAAACATAAAATTGTCTCTCCTTATGTTGACTAATAAATTCATCTTTCTTATTACTTCAACTGGCTTTAGATTGGAGTAGGTTTACTGTTACTTCAACAACTGGTAGGGAACGCTGCGCTTGGAACTTATATTAGCACAGTTTTTGCTAAAGCAAGTAAGTCTTTTTCTTAAAACACTAGTAATGAATAAATGAACAATATCAGACAAGTAATGATTAACTTGCAAGGAATTAATGTAAAGAGAAATCCAAATAATTGCTTTTGTTTGTTTGGTATATATAGATGTTTCAACTACCATTGGACCTACAGCATTAATCTTCTTACAGGTAGTTATATATATACAACATTATTGTTTTTATAAATTGTGGAATGTGTCTCTGTTATAATCATTTTGTGTTCTTTAATCATGAATTAGAGAACTCATTTAGTTTATTTTTTATAATGCTGATATTGTTTGCAGCTGCCAGCAGCTATTTTGGGAGTATTCTTAATGGATAGATTTGGAAGACGGCCTCTTCTTGTGGTTAGAATTACTGCAATGATTCATTTTGAACTAGTATTATTTTTTTTCATCATTTTTTAACTTTCTATTGAAAACAAATGACGACTTTGCAGGTTTCTTGTGTTGCATCATGCCTGTGTATGTCCACTATCGGATCATCATTCTACTTACAGGTTCAGACAAATAAATATATTTCTTTATTTATGTGTTTTTTTTTTTGGCGTTATGTAAATAGTAATAATTTACTTTTCCTTACATTGGATAAATAGGAACACCATTACGCCAAGGAGCTCACTCCATCGTTGGTATTTCTTGGAATACTGGTATTGTTCTAGCAGAGTCATTTGCATGTTATTTATTGTGTATTTTTCTCTTAATTTTGATGAGCTTGCAAACTACAAAAATTCATCAGATTGCAAATCAAACGATTAATGTACTAATCGATCAGTTCTATAACTAGGGTTTTGGTTATGCGTTCCCAATAGGCATGTCAGGGGTACCATGGGTTATAATGTCAGAGGTATGTATAATTGGTGTATGTATATTTATATGAAAAAGAGTTTGATGCAAAATAGGATTTTTACCTTACCCAAAGGTTGTTTTGAATATTGTAGATATTTCCTTTAAACGTCAAGGCATCAGCTGGAAGCTTGGCAAATTTAGTCAGTTGGTCCTGCTGTTGGCTTATGACATATGCCTTTAATTTTATGCTGCAATGGAGCTTAGCAGGTCGATAATTATCTCTGTCTCTGCAATGGAGAATATATATAGTTTAAAAATATTATGTTAATTAACTTTTGTGAATTGTGATTACTATTTGCAGGAACATTTTTCTTCTTCGCTAGCATGTATGTTGTCGCATTTCTATTCGTTTGGATGTTGGTACCGGAGACTAAGGGACGTTCATTGGAAGAAATACAAGCAACATTACTTGCTCCAGTTCCACGAGAGTTCTAACAAAGCATACATTAAGCGAAAAAATTGACCGTATTTTGTTATAATTTCTATTTGTATAGTTCCAACATGTCAATTTCTTTTTCTATTCTGCTATATTAAGAGATTGAACAATGATATACATTTATTTTATGATAATCCATGGTTTAATAACTAAATCCCTAAAGTTTATAAAACTGTTGTGTGTGTGTGTGTGTACACACACACACACACAGACACGCATATAAGAAAATGAATGAACAACGATTTTTCTTCATAAAAATGATGAACGGTAACTGTTGAGAGGTCCTAGTTGGTCGGCTTATTCCTAGGGTTATCTTGATGTCTACCAAAAAGTTAATGGTTTAACTATTGACATTTGTTTTATAGATTGATCAAGTTAGTCCTTCATTTTTGTTATAATGATTCAATTAATCCCATATAGTGGTGAATTCTATAGGTAATCATACCTGTCCTAAACAATTTTTCAGATATCCTATTCCTTACAAGCATGAAGAGGGGACTAGGGAAGAAGATGATAATGTGACATGCAATGATATGAATAAGCCAAATTTGTGGGAGAATCTGTTCAAAATCTAAATTTGGTAGCTAACGATGGGGCCGATAATCTTGCAGAGATTTTGAAGGGATTTTTTGTAATATTCTTATTAAGAAGATCCCTAGAGATTAAAGTTTCTAGGGAAAGATTTCATCTACTCAAAATGCTGAAATCTCGCCTGATTCCATTGCGACGTCCAACTACAGAGTAAGTAGACTCAACCATAAAACCCATTCTACGAAAAATCCCATACCTCTAGACAGCCGAGTAGTGATATACCCTGCCTACATGAAAGTCTTCGTCTAACAGATATAATTCTTGGTTAAAAGATGATTATAAAAACAGTTTAATGGCAAAAATTGCCTTCAAAGTATTATAGTTTGACAATTTTAAGTTTTTATTATCAATTTATATAGTTTGAATCTCAAACTATAATTTTTTAGATAAATTTGATCGTTCATCCATTATTTCTAACGACCAATACTTTGATTATTAAGTAAAATGCTTAAATTAGGTTGTCTAAATATTTTATAGCTAATTAAAAAAAAAACTGTTAACAAAATAAAATCAATTGTTACCATTAACTATGAAATTCAATTGGGAAGAGAGAGGGTGACATATTAAAACTCTGCCACAATCATTTACCCAGATTCCTCTCCTACATTACCTTATTGCCATTTCCCTCTCAATTTCAATTTTAGGAGCCATAATCGATATCAACCCAAAATTGTATTCTCCCATTCAATCAATTGATCAAAACTAAGACATTACACTTAAAAGAAACACTTATAGTTATCTTCATCTTCTTGTTTGATATTACAATCTTCCTCTCCATCAAGGTACTCTGTCCAAATCAGAGCGGCCTTTCGCTGGTTGTCTTCATTTGACCCAACATGATAAGCTTCTGATGTTGGAATTAGAGCTGCTTCTTGATCTAAGGAGTCTTGTTCATCAGTGATTTTTCGACACATACTGTATGATTGGACAAACTTGAGAAGGTCTTTAGCCAAGCAACCTTGTGAAAAGACTTTCTTTACATAATGCTTCTGGTTGCAAACTACGCATGTCCACTTGTTGCTGCTCTTCTTATGTTGTTTCACCTGCACACACAAACAAAAATAAATGAACGTAATTTGTGTCTATGGATAGGTAGATGAACAGAAAGATCGATACAATCAAGAGAGATATAGAATATGGGTGCCTGCATGGTTGAGCACTAGTAGCACTGTAGGGCGATGAAGAGCGTCTGCATAATCTTCTTCTGGGTGGAGACGGATTTTACGGTTTCATTGCTCGATGTTTAAAGTTTTCGACTACCTCATTCTTCGAACTCTCTCTCTCCCCAATTGAATTTCATAATTAAAAGTTAAATTCTGAAAATGATTTATTTTGTTAACAGTTTTTTTTTTTTTGAAAAAAAAAATAATGAAACGTTTAAACGATGCGTTTTTAACTGTCAAATTATTGGATGTTACAAATAAGGAGAAAAGTATAAAATTTACTCAAAAAATGATAATTTAAAATTCAAATTACTTAAATAAAAATATTAAATTATCAAATCACGATACTTTGAACACAATTTTTACCATTAAATATTGTAAAAACACTCCTATCTTCCATAAAAAAGCTTCTCAAAGGAAAAAAGATTAAAAAAAAAAAAAAAGAGAAGAAACTAGATAGGCATGATAAAAGATGAGAATGGTGGTTTACAGCATAAAGAGGAGGAGATCAAAAGGATTTTCAATTCTTTTTAAATCTGAACTCTCTTTTAGTCGACATCTTTGTGAACCAGATGGAATTAGGATCCAATCTCGGATGAATGTAAAGACTATGGAGAATTATAAGAAACATATGAGGTTACGGATTGTCGTACCCCAAATTTTTCTTATATCTATTTTTTATCCATCTTTTTATTTTCTTCTTTTATTTTTGTTTTTTTTATTTTATTATTTAGTTCATGTTGTTCTTAAAATTAAACAAAAAAATTAAATTAAATTAATTAAGAAAAATAGATAAAAATTTTGTTTATTTTATTGATATTAGGAATTTAATGCCAAAAAAAAAAAAAAAAGAAGGAAACTGACATCTCTGTGTTATTTTTCCCACTCCAGCAGCAACTTGCCAAGTCGCTCTGCAGTCCCACCTTGCTTAGCAAGGGCATCAGCAAAGCAATTATGCAGGAAAAAAAATTAAAATATGCAAACTCAACATTTTATTTTATTAATTTAAAAACCAACACTAAGAGTAGACACAATAATTTATCTAAAATCTACAAATCAATAACTCAGTACACGAATACCAACTTTGTAGAAGCTTTACTAACCAATATAAGTCCTACATTAACTAGAAAACCAACTTTTACAAGGAGTTTTAACAACTATTATGTCAAATAGAAAACCAACACCGGCTAGGAGATTAGATCCTTAATTAGGACATAAGAATTTAAGATTAATATCCACTTGGTTTAATTCCAACAAATTAGATTCCCTTAACAAATGGCTGAATTTCACATGAGCAAACAGACAATTAATTGTACCCACATGATTTTTTATTCCCACCTTTCTTGAAATGTATAATAAACAGAGGAAAATTAAACGCATTCAATTTTTTTTTTTTTATCTCTTCATTTCATGCACATTCTTAATTGAACATTTTTTTCTAATTATTTAATGGGCTGTTTTCATATTTAAAATTTGTATTTTTGAATTTTTTTAATAAAGACTTTTAATTTTTTTAAGCTTGATTTAGACTATTTACTCTTCAAATGTTTTTTTTAGACTTTTCGTTATAATGTCATTAATCAGTAATCGACACATTACTTCTGCTTTATAAAATTTTTTATTTTATAATATTATATATCGATCATTAATTGATTATGTTATTAAACGATCTATAAAAATTAAAAAGTAAAAAATTTCAATTAAATAAAAGAATAAATGATTTCAATAAAAAAAATTAAAAATTACACGGTTTAAATATGAGAAAATTCTTGTTATTGAACGATTCAATAGTAGTGCTTAATTATTTTCTTTGAGAAAAATATGAAATTACTATCATCAGATCTTAAATATCCATGAGATCATTTAATAAAAATCAAGACTTGCGATCCATCTTCCGTCTTCATTTAGCACTCCCTTTGGCTCCATCTTTCATTTGTTTGTTCTCTCTCTCCATCACATGTTTGTAATCTCTTGGGCTCCATCCCTTTTTTTTTCCTTCTTTTTCACAAAGCACTAACCTTGTTTTTCCTTCGTTTGTGGGATTCCTCATTCATCTACCAGGTTCTCGTACTCTTTTTATCTCCACCTTTCTTTTTGCGAAGGAGCTGGATTTTCTATTTCTTCACGTCCTATGTTCGGCCTATCTATACGCGTGATCTTGTACGTTTTCCATGAGGGAACACGATTTTGACAACATTGGTGACCCAGCCCTCTCTATACACGTTCTGTACTCTCTTTAATGATTGAGCTTAATTTGGAATAATCGGAAAAACCGAATTGAATGGGATCGGAATAGATATTTTAATTTGATTTTGAATTTAAATTTATGAAATTAAAAATCGAATTGAAATATTAAAATTATTTCGATTCAATTTTTATTGAAAATCAAACCATTTATGGTAAGATTAGAAATTTATAAAAATTTCATTTCCTACACTTAATTTGAGGAATTTATAAAAATTTTATTTTTTGGATCTAATTTGAATTTTAAATTATGGTATTCAAGAAGAAAGCTTATCCTTTATTAGCGCAACTTTTATACTACAAAATAAAAAACCTCTAAATATTTGTCCATTTCATATTTAAAATTTATAAATTGAAAAATAAATGATTTTGATTAAAATCAAATTTTTATAAAATTGAACCAAAATAATTCGGTTTCAAAAACTTATTGATATTATTTCAATTTTGTTCGGTTTTAATTTTTCTTAATTTAATTAATCGAAAACCAAATCGAATTTATACAAAATCGAACTATTTAACCGTTTGCTCATCTTTATTCTCTTTCAAAATATTTTTTTTCTTGCTTTCAGTTCAATTTGTTCGTAATAAATGAAAAAGGTTACGAAAAGAATATTATTTATTTATTTTATTACAATGATATAGTCAGGTCAAGTCAAGGAATATATATATATTACGTTCTGAAACGAGATTTAAGTTTTTCGTGATTGTGAATTATAATAAAAGCAAGTGCAATAAATCTTTTTAATGACTTGTCTCTTTTAGAATTTAACAAATCAAAATATAATAAATCTACTGATACAACTTTAACTCTGCACAAGTGAATGAGTCCAAAACTCATATACAGTACCTTTATTTATTGTTAAAAACAATACAAATGTTGTTTAAGTGAAGATATATTTTTTATTTATACATTTTGAAAAATAAATTAATTCTTATCTATATTGTTAGGATATTAAGAAAAATTATAAAAATGAATCTGACTTATTTTCAATTTAATACATTATAACCTTTTATTTAATTAAAGTTAGTTAAGTTATATATTTTAAATTACTTCCCACGAAGTAGCTAACGTTTATATTTCTTCACATGCGGTATACCTCTTGTACCACACAATATTTTAGTGTAAGGTAGGGAGAAAAAGAGAATTAACTCTCAGAGTTTTTTTCAAAAAAAGGAATTATCAACTTGGAAAATCAAAATAAACGGAAAAAAAAAAGGAGGAAAAAAAGCGCTGGCCTGCATAGGGCATTTGTGGGCCTGGCCTACCATCCTTCTAAAACTATATATACATAGAGAGAGAGAGAGTCAATAGCACGAAACGTCATTTTATATTTCTGATTTTTTAAAATGGTTGATATATATATATATATATATATATATATATATCACCACCTTTCTCTATTTTTCAATTTTCTTAATGCGGTCCTTCTAATTGTTTTTTCAACTAATTTTTTTTATTAAAACTAACAGTTGACATAAAAAAAATTATGTAGAATAACACATCAAATTAATTTGCCACTTGAAAAAAAAGATAAAAAGAAAAATTACCAAACTACTTTCAATCTCCTCTCAAAATTTTCAATCCTTCTCTTTAAATTTTCCAATTTTTCTTTGAAATTTTAACTTTTATTATCCATAGAACTTTTGGCTTTGAATCAAAACCAAAATTTCTAAACATAAAAATTAAAATTTTAAGGAAATATTGGAAAATTTAAAGAGAGAGATTGGAAAATTTGAGAAGTGATCAAGGATAGTTTCATAATTTTTCTAATTTTTTTGGTTTTTATTCTATTTCATTTTTTCACGTGATAAATTAATCCGACATGTCATGTTATGTAAAAAAATTTATAAAAATTATCGATTTTGATAGAAAAATTGGTCAAAAAATAGTCGAATGAACAACATTAAGAAAAATTCAAAAGTAAAAAGAGGTGATGAATAAAAATAATACAAGAGCCACATTAAAAAAATAAAAAGATGTTTCATGCAATTAATTCTATAAATATATATTGTCTACCCGATTACTCTTATTCCCTTGCTCAATTAATTTTTTAGTTAAAAAAAATTAGGGTTTAATGCAAAAAATAGCAAAAACTTATCAGTGCTCTTAGCAAACTCATTTTAAACCTTAAAATCCATTTCCATTGATGTATTGACAGGCCAAAAATAAACCAAAGTCTAAAATACACTTTCAAATCCAATTATCTTCTATTTCTTACAACTTCGCTTTCAAGAAATATTGGAGCTCGAGTGTCTATATTATTCAACTCGGAGAACATCTCATTCGATTGACTAGTGATAAGATATACTTTGATTTATAATTGAATACGTTAAAAGAGTTAAAAATTAACACCGATATCTAGCAATTTATTGTAATTAGATAGAAATTTTTTTATCCGTATAAATTTCTCTATACATAATTTTATAAATAGAGTTTGATAGTGATACAACATTAAGTTTAAAATCCAAACACTTTTTATGGCATTAGAACCCTATAAGGTTTAAAAACCTAGCTCCTTTATCATTCATCTTTTTCTTCTTTCATCTCGCTTGTTCACCTTCCCCTCGCTTTCCTCGGCCAATCTTACAAAGAATCAACTTACTCTCCCATAAATAGAATCCACCACGCCATATCCCAATATAACTCATCAACTCTCCATGAAACTTACCTCCACCAACTACGTATTATGGAAAACCCAAATCCTTCTTTTATTGTGAAGATACAAACTTGCCAACCACATTGATGGTAACACTACTACACCACCTCGAATTTTTTTAATGAAGATAATACATAACCTAATCTAACATATGTCAAATGGTATATATTGATGATAAAATTATGCTAAGTCTGGTTGTTAATTCTCCTATAGCTCCATTTATTTCACAAGTTGTAGGAGTCACAACGACACTTAAAGCATGAAAAAAGCTACCCATCGTATATCATTCGGCTCATGTACTTAGATACTCCAATTGTGTGCTAGGTTGATTGAATTAGTCTAGAAAAATGATGACATTTCCGCTTGTATGACTTGTGCCAAGGATGTTTTAGATAAGCTTGCTTGTCTTGCAACATTCGATCACGAAAGATGATTTGGTGGACTATATTCTATGTGGCCTTAGTCCATCTTATAGGCCTTTTATTCGTGGAATATAAGCTCTTCTTAGACATGTTTTGTTTGACTCATTGTATGCGTTTTTGTTGAGTGAAGAGCTTCAATTAGCTCGATATAAACACCCAACTAACATTACAATAGCCTAATTTTTAGCTCGAGGTTACAACCCCTATCGTGAGAGAAGTAGATCTCATGGTAAGTGGCGTGGTGGCTCATCTAATTATCAACCACGCCCAACCCCATCATATTTTAATTCTTCAATAATTGTTTGCTATAATTGTAAAGAGACGAGCCATCACATACGATAGTGCCCCTCTCCTCGCCAATCTGAGTCGCTTCTTCTCATACATCCGAGCCTAAAAGTCACATGGTCCGTACACACTTTATCCCCCTTCATACGCAGCCTTGGGTTGTTGACACGGGGCCACACATCATTTGACTACCGACATGGATAATCTGGGCATTCATTGTATTGATTTTGAATACAATGGTCCCGAATAAGTCATAATTAGGGGTGAGCAAACGGTTAAACGGTTCGGTTTTGTACGATTCGGTTCGGTTTTCGGTTAACCGAATCAAGGAAAATAAAACCAAAACCGAACCAAAATAAATTCGGTAAATTGGGTTTGTAACCAAATTATTTCGGTTCGGTTTCAAAATATTTCGGTTTTAACCGAAATGTTTTACCGAAAAAAAATTCTAGACCATTGTTTTATTATTTGTCCTAAGCCACCATCATTTTCACCATTTACAAAAAAAAAAAAAAAAAAAGAAGAAGAAGAAGAAAAAACAAAGCCCTTACATAGGAAATATCTTTTACGACTACCTAATCACAAGTTGACACACTGAATGTCCTAAATGAGAGAAGAAAAAAAATGTAGTTGTCTTCCTTCTTTTGCTTATTTTAAACTCATCAAGCACTAACAACATCCTAATTCTTGATTTGACCTCTATGATCTCCTTGCTTATCTTGCTAAAAAGCCATTAGGAATGAACCGTAGGAAACAAAAGTTTAGACCGAATTAGTCACTCGTTGAAGATTATAATTTTCCAACATCAATCACTATCATAACAAGATATATAAAGCAAGGTAAAGGTTATCAATATGTATAACATCCCTAATAATTTTACAATCATCATTCCCACTAAAAAATTTAGTCCAAAAGATTTTCATTCGCAATTTTGTGCGAGTAGAAAAGAAATTAAAACAACTTTCTTTCGGTTTGTAAAATTCAAGCTCACAGAGACCTAAAACCATCTTGCAATAGTAAGTTAATTTCATTTGATTGTCTTGCAAAGAAACAACTAAACTTGTAAAAGACAATTGATTACGGTTAGTCATCAACTTTATTTAATTTTTTCAATTGATAGTTGACCAAATTAAGAATCTTAGAATTCATGAATGCCTCTTTCGACTCGATGAAGTGATGATGAAGGAGAATCGAAGAAGATGGAGAGAAGGATAGGGAGCTAGGGAGGCGCCGCTAAAAATTGATTTTGATTTAGTGAAGTTAGCCAATTAGGGTTAAATATATATATATATATATATATATATATATATATATATATTTTTTTTTGCTTTTAATTTTTTCTGTTTTCGATGAAAACCGATTTTTTTTCAAAAACCGAACCGAACCGAAATAATTTCGGTTTTTTCGGTTCGGTTTTTAATTTTTTAAATTTAAGTTTAAAACCGAACCAAAATACATAATTTGGTTCGGTTTGATTCGATTTTCGATTAACCGAACCATTTGCTCACCCCTACTCATAATTAGTAATGGTAAAAGCCTTTCAATCTCTTGCACTAGCTTTTCATTTTTTTTCTTAATAACAAAAAATATTCTCTGGATAATATCCTCCTTGTTCCGAATGCTTGTAGCAATTTATTATTTGTCGGTGTGTTAAAGCTTCTAACCAAGTCTCCCTTGAATTTTTTCCAATCTATTTTTTGGCAAAAGTATCTATAAGAGGTATTAGTGTAGATGCCCAAAGGTGGTAGAGTGTAGCAACTAGCATGTTGAAGTTTTGCTGAAAGAGGTTGGACGACAAGTTATTTGGGTGGTTTAAATTGGTCCCGTCATTTGAGTTTAAGGTTAATTTAGGTCCCTTTAGGCTAAGTCTTGTTTCAATTGTACCATTTGGATGTATCATGTGGTCTTTATACTTTTGATTTTTTTTTCAATTAGGTTCCTAAGTCTTGTAATTTTAGTCTTGAAGTTTTCAATTGCTTCAATTATGTCCTTAATTGTTTTAATTTCAATTCTGTTTTTGTTCAATCATACCCATGATGTAATTAATTAATTAATTTTTTATTTTTTTTTGTATTTTGGTTTTTGTTTTCTTTTTTTTTTTAGTAAATTGTAAAATGAAAATAAAATAAACAATAGTAAAAAAAATAGATAACATAAAATAAAAGATAAAAAGAAAATAAAAAGAAAAGATAAAAACATCTAGAGGTGAAAATTTTTAGGTTATGATAGAGACCTTTACCGATTGCATCTTTAGATAATCATTATTATTATATTTTATTTTTTGACCACTATAGCAAATATTATTGTACTTACTTTATCAAATATAAATCGAATGTTCTCAATTGTTTCATTAAATTTCCACATTTGGTTGAAAAGTTATTTTATAGGTCTATTAAGTCCTTCCAAGGAGATTGAGGTGGGGAGTTCTAAGGGCTCACCAAATGTCTTAGTGAAAATGGCATTCAACAACGCAGCTAATGCCTAAAAACACATGCACAAAATAGGTGCAAATAACATAAACACCAGCATATTGTAGAGACTAGTGGTGCTCTACACCATGCATCTTTTCCTCTAAAATTTTGGTATCATGCTTTTGCAGCAGTAATTTATTCCATGATCATACTTTCTACTCCCTTCTAAATCAACCAAGTGCATTTGAAGTCTTATTCAAACACAAACCTGATTACAACATGTTATGGGTGTTTGTACTATCCTAGTGAGAATCATATGTCAAGAATAAACATGAACCCCGATCTTATAGCTGTGTTTTTCTTGGTTACAACAATTTACACAAAAGGATATAAGTGCTTCAATTTGGTTACTCATAAAATAATTGTCCCACATCATGTTTTGTTTGATGAATATGTTTTTCCATGTCAAGCAACCAAACGTGCAGCTTCTGTGGTTAATTCAACTCTACAAATCTCAAACCTACTATTGCCACCACTATCCTCTATTTCCCTACAAATTCCAGCTGCCAACATCCCAACAATAGCCAAACTTGCCCTGCTTTCTATCAAGTAGTAGTCTACTACTGATGTGTATCGTAGTCCATACTTTAATACACCATGCATAATCAACATGAAATATCATATTAAGTGTATAGACTCATAAAGCTTTTTTCATAATAACTCTAATTGTTTATATTATAAATATAGAAAAAATCTTTTGTATTGAATATTGATCCAAAACCTAATGAAAAATACTATTGCAGTTGTAAAATATACATAATTACCAAACCACTAAAATTCTTATATCATATTTTGTTATTTTTGTTTTTGTAATCTTCTTTCTTGATTCCTTTAATAACACGTTCATTTTCAGAAATCAGCATCCCAGGAGCAGCACCTGTCATGTAAAATATTGACCCTTCGCCCACCAAAGACCACCAGCCTTCCAGACATGGGTGCCCACCTCAGGATCACCCGTTCCCCTGTCCACTGCACGCCCATTCCCATCACCAGATGACCATGTGACTGCCTCACTTACGCTAACCGAAACAACAGCAGCACGGGACCAATCATTATCTATAAAGACTTTAAAAATGAAAATGTAGGTCATGCGAGTTTAAGTAAATTTTCTTTTCCCTTAAATTTTCATTATCCAAATCGCTTTCTCCTCTTGCACTTTTAAACTTTAGTTGTATTGATCCTCTGATTCTTTTAACCATGCCAACCTGTTTACTTAAATTTATGAGATATTTTACGTCTTCTATCCACCTTTATTATAAAGGTACGCTAGATTGATTTAACGACGTGAAATTAATCAATTTTTTTCTAATCAAAATCAAACACATGATTTTTTGTATCTAAACTAATGAATTGAAAAAAAATGGACTAATATTTCTAAGAGAAACGATAAAATTAACCTAAAATTATCCGGTCTCTTAAAAAAAAAAATTAAAGCGCACACATTTTAATCGGACCTAATTTAACCCAATTACGCAATTAATAAAACCAACCACCAGCATTCTCTCTAAGTTCTTGTCCACCCATTTTACAATTTTAAACATCTTAATTAGTTTAGAATTTTAAGTCATTATCACATTTGTTTTTTTTTCTTTTTCTTTTTTTTCCTAATAAAAAAATACACATGTAATAAAGGTCAGAAACAACTTATTTTGATATATACGAAATATGTGCAAAACGCTTGCGTAACACTCAAATTGCTCAATGATTTAACTTTTTTTTTACCTCTTTGATACCAGAAATTATACTCTACTCATTTGTATTTTGTTTTATGAAAAACAAGATTTATATTAAAAAAAAAAGTTAATAGCTGAACAAAATATTATACCAAAAATTTTAGACATACAATAAAAAAAGCTAAAAAAACTAAAAATCGACTAATGCTATAATCAAGCTGTAAAATTATTATACCAAAAATTATATTTCGCTCGTTTTAAATAGGATCTTTTATCCTGCGCGCAGCACCCGAAACCAAGAACTCCCTATTAGTGCCGAATAGCTAAGTCGGTATATATTATGAAATGACATGCACATCCTCCAACCAACATTCAATTTTACTCTTCTGCAGATACAAATATACACTTAGTCGAATTTGGTCAATTAAATTAAATTATATACAATGAAAATTGTAAAAACTGCACATGTAATGAAAACAATTTAAATAGGTTAAGTGAACTCGTTATAGAGTAATATAAAATTATTTTCGAAAACCTTACCCAACAATTAAGATTTTGGATTGAAATAATTATTTAATATGATATTAGAGTTTTAATAACTAAACGATTACGAATTTAAATCTCATCACTTTCATTTTTTCTTCTAACTAATTAAAAGGAAATAAACACAAGGGTGAGTTTGAATTTCAACCCTCTACTTTTTCGTCTAACTAACTAAAAAGAATTAAACAGAAAGTAACGTGAGTTTATACAGATTTCAAACTTAAAGTATTCAAAGAATTAAGCACAAAACAACGTGAGACTATGCAAGTTTTAAGCACAAAAAACTTTAACTTAGAGAGGGTTTTGAAAATATATTAAAAAAGAATATAAATTATTTTTAAAACCTCGTTCAATAACAAAGAGAGATAAATAATACTGAAAGAGAAAAGAAGGAAAAATTGTTTTCAAACCCACTCGGCAATGATTTGGAGAGTTCGGTGCAATTTTTTTAATTTTTATTTATTCTTTTTGTTTCGCTCTTTTTGTGAAAGTAGCCTTAGGAGTTATTATTTGTAGTTATTCTTGAAATATCATAGATTTTTTTATTATTTTATCCATTTGAAAAATAAATGGGTAGTGTGTAGAACACAACCTATTTTTTTCTTTCATTTTTTAATTATTACACCAATTTTTATTCAATGAAGTCCTCTTTTTAAAATTTTCATTTTCATTATACTTATTTTTTCTATATTAAGGTGGTTATTATCAATACTGACTTCAATATAATAAAATTACTCTTCAAATTTTACATAATAATTTAGATTTTTGATCAAGTTTTGATCTACAGTGCCCCATCGGTATTGTCAAATTAAATTTAAAATTACAATAAAGAGGGTGGAATAAATGATGATATGAATAGAATTAATAAAGAAAATCTGATAATAATGCATCAAGTAGTAAAAAAAAAAAACTTAGTTGGCCAAGATGAATTTTTATTTTTGAAAAATTATACTGATTAACTGGTTGAAATAAAAAATACAGATGCTCAATTGATCAAGTTAATAATAAATTTTTTTAATGAATTGGTGAAAAAATAGAGTACAAAAAATAGGTTTAACCATTTATATGCAAGCTTATGATTATAAACTAGGAGAAGGTTAGGTCAAATGGTTATCTATGGTGACATAAATTCGAGATTTTTGCTGGTAAGATAATAATTAATGAAGCTTCAAAACGCATGAAGAAAATCAATTCAGCCATTATATATGGTCGAATTTTATTATGGATTTCTGATCCCATTCTCTATAGAACCCTCTCATCTCTTCCTTCTCCGAGCTCGTGGAGTTGGGGTTATGGAAAAAGGAGAAGAAGGAACCATATACATAAAAGTTTGGGAGGAATTATGGTTTGGTGAGAATTATTAAAGGAAAAAATAAAGAAAAAAAGTCAAATCATCTCTTCACCTAACTTCTTTAGAAGCCATGAAATTGTTGTTTGGTGAACACAGATTTTTTTTTTTTTTAACGGTTCTCCTCCATGTTTATTTTTATTGCATGAAAACTATTAGAGAATATAACAAAATCATATTTTAAAATCTCATTTAGTTTAATTTTTAGATTGTAATAATTTTTTGATATAATATTAAAATTTTATTCATTAAATGAATTCTCTTATTAAAATTAAAATTTCAGCATACAAAAAATATGGATTTGTATAAATTAATTTCAAATCCAAAATACTTTCAAATAAAAAATATATTAAAATAGTAACATAAAATCATTGTCAACACATTATCCTCCAAATTTTTGAATTGAAATAATTATACATTTTAGTACTCGTAAGAGTTGTTGGTTATGTAACACAAACTAGTGGTCATAAATAGCCATAGCTTTCTCAACATTTCCAGCATTAAACACTTCGGTCTGTATATATGTCCCTCTCTACGTCTGCTCCCCTTTCAAGTTCCAAGAAAATAAGATAATGGAAAGAGAGTTCATTGAAGAAGAGACACCAACAAGGCCTCTGCTTTTTGATGCTAAGCCTATTGGCAATAGCGATACGCCAACCACTAATTCCTCCCTCACTCTCATTCTTGTCTTTAGCACCCTTGTTGCCCTTTCTGGCTCCTTCTGTTATGGATGTGCTGTAAGTACGAACACTAATGCATTTCACTTATCTTGTCAAAATCATCATGGTACAGTTTCTTATTTTGTAGAATCATAAATCACGACAACTGAATGCGATTTTCTTTGCTCCTGAGTATATTCATAACGCTCGCTACGTACTTTGATTATGATTGAGACTGAATTTCAGACCGGTTATTCCTCACCAGCTGAAAAGGGAATCATGGAAGACCTGCACCTCTCCATTGCAGAGGTCAGTTCGTAAGAATTCTAAATTATAAATTTTTTGCTTTCAAGAAAGGAAAAGATCAAACAAGAAACCATCCTTAGTTTCTTGTTGAATTGGACCTAACTCAACTCGTGCATATATATTATCCACTAGTGATGCCTATCAACGTTGAAATAGACCTCTCCTTCAAAGTATAATGTCACTTGGGAGAGAATTTGTATGATTTGTTGAGGAATAACAAGTAATTTGCAATTTTCAGTATTTATATTTATTGAATCAAAAGTGTCTATTTATATTTATTCGATTTTGGAACTTCTTGTGACTTCAGATTTTTTCAGTCTAAAATTGTCTGTCAATGTCTTCAAATAAAGTCCTATTATTCTTCTTCTGTCCTTTAACAAACTAGAAAACAATAATTATACTTACAAGACATTGAGCAACATCTCTGCCAGTTTTTATCAATCGCTTTTTTCTCTTGTATTGCTTCGACTATTTCTAATAAATTAAATATATATGTATGATTATGGTGTATTTTTGCAGAAAAGAAATTTACTTTCATTTTCTTAAGGTCGAAGCTCCATCAAGTTAATTTTCCTCAATGTATCACCATTTTGTATGCATGTGGGGATGATATCAATGAATATGGTTGATTCAACACTTTCTATTTAATAATTTAATTAAAAAAATTGAGGGTGATAAGGTTTGAACCTGTGATTATTTGATTATTAAAATTTTAATACCTTATAAAAAAAAATTATTTCAACCCAAAAGTTTAAAATATTAAATAAAATCTCGATATATAATTTATATTGTTCTCTAACATATTTGATCCTACAATTTAATATACATATATATATATCTTAAATTCTAAACCATTCCCACCACCTTTACATTACATTTTTTTCCTCTATTTGATGGCCTTTTTTTTTTCTTTTTTCCTTTACATTTTGCAGTACTCAGTTTTTGGTTCGCTATTGACAGTAGGAGGAATGGTAGGTGCAATTTTTAGTGGAAAGATTGCAGATCTCATTGGTCGAAGAAAAGTAAGTCTTTTTACTTATTACATCTCTTATATCTCGTAAAGCTTGAGATGAAATTAACTTGAAGTCTGAAAAATCAGTCAATTAACTCTTCGATTCTTCATCGTTGATTTGTTGTTTTTGTTCATCGATCGAGCAGTCAATGTGGTTATCCCAAATATTTTGCGTCGCTGGTTGGCTGGCAATAACATTTGCTAAGGTTAATTTTCCTTACTTCACGTCTCATCGTAGAATATGTTCTTTCTACTATCTAATCTTACAATCTTCCGTGTCCACACATACAATTATCTTTTTGATGATATATATATATAATCATCACTAATATTACCTTTTGGATTGTTGTTTAAAGCATGCTTGGGTACTGGATATTGGAAGACTGTCAATTGGATTGGGAGTTGGATTTATTACTTATGTGGTAATTGAACTTCGGTTTGTGTTTGCTATTTTCACGTTCAACACATATTTATGAATGGGACATTTAATGATGTCTGTTTTTTTCCGTAACAGGTACCTGTATATATTGCAGAAATATCGCCTAAGAATTACAGGGGACGATTTACATCGGCCTATCAGGTAAGCGTGAAAGTCAATCACGCTCACCTTTTTTAAAAAAAAACAAAAAAATTACACATATGTTAACTTTATTTTTGGATGGCTAATTGGTTATAAAGTTTATTGGATTATTGGTCAAAGAAAAAAATTCTCTAACTCTTTTTTTTATTATTATTATTTGAATTTATAATTTTTTTATCTACAATTAAATTCTTTCTTTTATCGTGTCATTATTCAATTTCAAGTCTTATTAAATATATGTAAAAGGTACATAAGGTAATAAAATAATGATATATATTTTGTGTTTAAAACTTTCAAGATATTTGTGATTATTTTAATAGCTTCATATATTCATCAACAAAATAAAAAAACTTAATTGTAAATAAAAAAAGTTAAGAACCTAGATTAAAACAAAAAAAAGGTGATAAACTTCTTTTCTTTAGCTCAGAATATTTTTTAACCCACTAGTTTTATTGGATTTATGCATTCATGTAGTTGATGGTAGCTTGTGGATCGGCACTATTTTTTTCCGTTGGAAACGTTTTATCTTGGCGCATCTTGTCCCTAATAGGTAATATTGTTTTTTGGTTTTTAGTTTGTCAGATCAACAAAGAAATAGTGTTTTTTTTTTTCGCCTATTGATCTAGTTATGCATAAATCTTGCTTTCAGGTGCCGTTTTATGTCTACTACAAATTGCAGGTTTATTCTTCATTCCAGAGTCTCCTAGATGGCTTGTGAGTAATTGCAAATTAATGTTCTATACGCAAATATATTTGCTTCTATGTGGAGTTAAAAAAAATAGAGCATCTGTTTACAGGCAAAAATTGGCCGTGAAAAAGAGTTCGAAATTGCTTTGCAACGCCTTAGGGGAGAGGGTGTTGATATTTCTGGAGAAGAAATGGACATCAAGGCACGTAACATCTTAACTTCACAGTTTTTTTTTTTTTTTTTTAAGTTATTTATTTTCATCTCTCTTTTCTTGATTTCGTTATCATCCCATTAGTTAGTGTTACTAGCACCATTAAACATTGACATATGTATCGGGTGGCAAACAACAAGAATTTTTTTGTGATATTTGGTCCTCGATTTTTTTAAAATTTACTTTGGTCTTTATATTTTATTTTTTTACACATTAGTCTTTAATTGAAAATTTTTTTACCATCATATTTTACAGCAAATACAATTTCATCCCTACATGTTTTTTTTTCAATTTCATCCCTACTCATAAAATTTATTTTTTGATTTTTTAGACATATATCAACATATTATGATTTTATTGTGTTTAGAAGGTGGATTGGTTGACTTACGTAATGTGGAAGAGTTGAATTAACAAATTTAATTGTATGAGCATTGAATTATCACTGTTAGGTTATTGAATTGTTTTTACTTTGATTTTGATTTTTTTTTCTTTTGTTTTTAATTTAAGCTTAACCAATAAAGTTATTTTACGAGTTAAAAACATATTAGGATATTTAAGTTATTGTTAGAATTACAATAAAACTATTTTTGGCTCTTGTTTAACTTAAACTTTTGGAATTTGATGATTCTTTAATATAATACATAACTTCTTTGTCTAAGTGGTTAGGAGTTCAAATCCTATCACTAACAATATCTTTTCTAAGTCAAATTAATGATTTTTACTTGAAAGAGTATGTTAGAGTTATAATAAAACCATTCCTATGACCTTATACAGCAATTTAAACTCTCTTTTCTAACCTAAAAGGATATACGACAAATTAACATTTTGAATTTAGATGGTTCTTTAACACTTATTAATAAGAATTTAAAATCATTTTTTTCATATAATAAAATTAAAAACGTAAAAGGATGATAGTGTTCACAAAAGTTACCGTAATTTCTTTTTTATATATTGTATAAATACAGATAGAGATAGGGATATTTCTAACAAATTTTGCTGGTTTTCCAAATCTCAATGAAGTTCCAACTTTTTATCAGTTTTTTGGTATATTAGGAGCTGAAATGTGCTTCCATTATTTGATAGGATACCATAGAAATCTTTCAGGAGAACCCACAAGTCAAAACTCTAGAGTTGTTCCAGAGGAAATATGCTTATCCCATTTTTGTAAGTCTCTTTCTTTTTTTATCTTTTCAAAAAATGTACCTTTTTTGATCTTGACTAATCTAGTTTTTCTTTGGATTGTTTAACTGAGATAGATTGGAGCAGGTCTAATGTCACTGCGAACATTAGCTGGAAACGATGGGGTGAGATATTATCTTAACACCATATTTGCCGAGGCTAGTAAGTCTTTATTAGATGTTTCTTCACTATTAAACCACAATGTTTTCTTGTGAATGTAGGAATTTGAGAGTGAATGGTCTGCTTAAGACTTAAATAGAGAGAAACTTACTATCAGCCCACAAAAGCTGCCTAGAGATCACCCTTATTATTAAACCAAAAAGAAAAAGAAAATAATAATAACCCATCAACTAAAGGCAGAAAAAATAATGATTTTGGTTTTTATTTTCCAGATCTTTCGACTGCCGTTGGAAGTACAACATTTTCTTTTTCACAGGTATGCCGATGATTGTGTTTTAGAAAGAGAATATGTGAATCTGCTATTTCATATTTTTATAAGTAGATAAGCTCTTACAGATTCCAGCAGCTGCTCTAGGTGTACTCTTACTCGATGTAACTGGAAGACGAATCATCCTGATGGTTAGAAGGGCAATGATTTCAGTTTATACTCATGACAACCATGTGATTTAGTGGATCGATTGTGAAGGCCATAATAAAATCTGTCAACATTTGCAGGCTTCTTCTGCTGGAACATGTTTATGTTTGTTCGTTGTAGGATTTTCATTCCACTTACAGGTTTTACCTTAACTTGGATATATATATATATATATATATATATATATATATATATATCAACATGTGTGTATTTTGGTTTTGTTTTGCATTTCTTCAAGTCATATAATCCTCCTTTCTTTTGAATGAGCAGGAACTTCACTGTCTTAAGGAAGCCACTCGAATTTTGATATTTATTGGCATAGTGGTAACTGAATCATGCTATACGATGTGCCATAATTTCGCAATTTGCCTTCTTTTTTTCCTCTTTTTACACGCAATTTACTTATCTTAATTTAACTTTGTGTAAAGCTACTAAAAGTTATTAGAATTTTAATTATCAAATGGTCATGATTTTAAATTCTATTATCTTCGTTTTTTTCAATTAAATTAAAATTTTCAATATAAGATAGTGATAGAATTTTAAATCTTATCTAACCGATTAAACTTTTGAATTATGATGATTCTTTTACAAACTTCTATAAACAAAACCATTTCGATTCCTTTCACTACTAAATTATGTGTTTATTGTAAAGAACAAGGATTTGCTACACGCTGCATTTTGTTACCATTTTATTTGAGCCAAGTTGCCATCAAAATAATGTATTGGTAAATGATTAATGCTGCAACCAGGGCTATGCTTTCGCTTTCTCCTCAGGCATGTCCGGAGTACCATGGGTTATAATGTCTGAGGTGAAAAGTTTTCTTGAGCTTGAACTTCTAATCATTCAATGTGTTTGTTTCAGAAAAGTTTCATAAATGTGAAAAATTTAGGAGTCCCAAGATCTGAAAATTTTCACTACAGATACTTCCAACTAATGTGAAGGCATCAGCTGGAAGTCTAGTCACTTTAATCAGTTGGTTCTGCTCTTGGATTGTGGCATACAGTTTCAGTTTTATGATGCAATGGAGTCCAGCAGGTCAGTCACTCGCTCCCTTTATAACTCTCCTACAAAAACACCAACAGTCAAGTAACCATTTTTCCTTGTTACTCTGTGTCCTTGTAATATTGATCTGCAGGAACATTTTATATCTTCGCCGGCATGTGTGCTTTAACCTTTCTATTCACTTGGAAGTTCGTGCCGGAGACCAAGGGACGAACATTAGAAGAAATACAAGTAGCATTGGTTGCTCAAATTTCTGAAGAAGATTGCTAAAACAACTTAAATAACATGTAAGCAAGAGTTAAAATGGAACTCTTACCTAGCTACTGCCAATTTTATTTTTCTTGTGAAGAGGAAATAATATTTTCCTATCATTTAGCTGGTGTTTGAAGCAGCCTATGGCATGTTCTGATTGTAGCAGCTGCTTCTGCTTCTTTAACTCTCTCCAATTTTGGCTATTTCCCGTTGCTGCTATCAATAATATTATGGTTTTTAAGCTTACAAATCAAATAATAATGTTTCCATTTCAGATGTAGATACCATTCTGAGTATCTTTCACTTTATTTCAAAGGGTCAGTGGGCCAGGCTGTTGGTCTTGGGCCCTGAGAGACCTTCTCTCAAACACTTCGTCCGGCCCGATTTCCTTATTCAAGCTGAGCGGCCGTGGGCCTGCACATCAGCTCGTAGTTAGGTTTTCTTTTAAGCCGCTGCTTAAGGCACCCACCTCTTGATCATCTGTTAAAGCTACTACTCTGAATAGCAACTGGTCAAACTGATTCTGGTATTCGTGAATGGTATCTGTATATTTGAGTTTACAAAGATCAGCAAAAGAATTTTCTGGGTTGATATACCAAAACTCTTAATAAATCCTTCCTTCATGTCTTGCCATGTGAGATCCAGGTGTGAACCCATGTGATATACTGGTGTAAATCCTTTGGTCGTTTTGCCCATAGTTTGGCGTGCCCTTCCAAATGGTAGGTTGATATCCTATGATTACTTAAGCAATTAGTATCGAATTCGAGTCCTTGTATATATAAAAAAATTTTTCTAAATAATTGTTCTCATTTGACGTGTCCATAGAATATCAAAAGATTAATCTAAACTTTTTTATTTATGTTATCTGGAAAAAGAAAAAAATATTTCACTGGACTAATCTAGCGTGTAGGATCGTCATTGTCATCATATTGAGAAAAATCTAATTTAACCCATTTAGGAGCGAAACTCCCATTTGTCCCTTCCCTATTAGTGTTCCCAAGAACCGGATGAGGCCGATTCGCCTCCTCTGAGGATTGAAATACCTAAAGCACTTTTGTCATCTGTCTGCAAATTAATACTCTCAGTCTGATGCTCAAGTCGAAAAAAATACTGTAGTTTGTTTTGCTCTTCAACCATGACAGGCTTTGATATCAACTCCTAAAGTATTTTTGTCATCTATCTACGAATTCATACTCTCAATCTGGTGCTCAAATCGAAAAAAATGCTGGTTATTTACATGATCATGGCAGACTCTGATATCAAGTTGTTACGCAACTGGTTGTCTCCACTGCCTGCATCTCAACCTACCGCAATCTATATTGATGAGAAATGACAAGAACAATATGAAAATAATTTGCCGAAACAATATAGCAGAATAGTTGAGAATTGTGATCGACTGTTATTATATAAACTCCAGGACAATGGTAAATAGCAACATAAATAGAAACCTATTCTTAAAGAAACTATCAAACAAAAATCAGGCCTACTTTGGCCAAGCAAACAAACAAATGCATGTCGGAGTTGTTGCTGAAAATTAGACCCCACATTATCGATAAATTTTATAATACATCAAGAGTAATTAGTGGCGATATATAATAGCTTACTTCATAAATTCATTTTGAAAAGAGAGATAGACATACAAAAAAATAATGAAATTACTTCCATACTCACTAAAAATGATAAGAAGATTTTCACGTTTGCTCAAATTTTTCTATTTTCTCTCTCCTGTTTTTCTTTTTTTTTTATCTATTTCTCTTTTTAAAATGAGACTCATAAAATAACTACTATACATATCACTAATTGCTTCGTATGTATTATAAAATTACCCTCACGTTATAGATGGAAGAAGACTTTATCCGAAAAAAGGCACTTAGTCCCAAAAAAGTGCACGTAAGTTTGTAAGAAACGTGGGCATGACTTTATCTTTTTCACGTGGGCATTACTCCCTCGTAAGTTTGTAACAGAATAGGACCCCTCTAATGCAATTGGCTGTGTTGATAATATGGCAGGTCTGAATCCTTGGAGATTACAGAGCGTCTTATTCAATTCCATTAAAATACCCATGCAGGGGTTAGAAGTCTATTAGTTACACGGCCATGTTTTAAGGGAGAGCAATGATGGGCGGATTGTTTGGCAAATCAGAGTTTGGATGGCAAATTACAAATTAGTCCCCCTCGTTTCAGATTTTTTTCTTCCGTATTAAAAGCTAATTGTTTAATTTTTATATTTTTAAATCTACTTATAACTTTATCTTTTTTTAATTTATTTTAACTTTTTATTTCACAAAATATATAAATATATAAAGATTGATGAAAACTAAGATAATTTATAAAATAAAAATAATATTAAATTAAACATGATTAGTATTAATAGTCCAAAAAATTAAATAATAATTTTTAAAAAAGAAGGATTGATTAATTTGTTTCTCAAAATTAGAGAGATGAATTTATCATTCACTCAAGTTTGGATAGAACTTCTGATTTAATTGTTTGCTTGTAATTTGACTTTGTTCTTTTCTCTTTTTGTTCTTCATTAATTTATTGGTATGAAAGTTCTTTTAATATAAATCTGATCGAATTTCATTTAAAAAAAAATGATGTACACACGAAAATAACTGTACATTACTCTTTTTTCTCGTTTTTTATTGAGATTCTTAGGAACATTTATTAGATTACCATAATTTTCGAACGTTTTTACATTTAAATTATACATTATATCAATAAACAATTTATAGCTCAATTAATATTAATTTTCTCTATCTCTCTCTCTCTCTCTTTTTTTTTGATAAACTTAGTACAAAACGCCTCCTAGAGAATTTTTTTTAAATATTGTTTCCCATCAAGATTTTTTTTTTTTTTTTAAGTTCCATAATATTTTAATTCCCCCAACAAGAAATTTATTCAAACTTAATCTCGTGGCCCAGTTATATGAGAATTATTTTAACGAAGGTCATGTGATGCGCTATTTTGGGGTATCTTTGTAAAGACATTATTGATATATTTATACATTATTTTATACTACAAGTACAAAACTTACAAAACAATAGCACTTACAAAAATAAAGCTACTTTACACTTACAAGAACAGTCACATGTTAGACTTTGATCAGTTTATTTATACGAATGTGAATGGCAACAAATCATGCTACCCACCCAAGTCCAACGCAGAATTTGTCCCAAATTTTTTACTTCTACACGATAACCAATTAATTAAAGGTAATATATAATCTCATTATTGCTGATGTAGTGGAAAACCCAAAAACTGACAGAAGTAAATAATAAATATAAAAAAATTATTTAACGTGGTTCACTCCCTTATTGTGTACCTCTACAAACTACAACTGTTATTAAATATTACTAGTCTTTAAAAAAAAAATTAAACCTCTCAAGAATGTACTTTTCTGGATAAGACTTTTGTAGTTTAATTAAGTAAACGATTTTTTATTTGAGTTTTTGTGTATTAAACTTTTTTTATTTTGAGTAATTGTGTTTGTTTTATATATCTAATTGAGTAACGAAGAAAGGATTAGTCTCAATTTTTAAGTCCTGTAACACTCTAAGAATTAAAAAAAAAAAAAAAAACACAAGATTCTTCTACTATTCTTGGAGTAAAAACGAATTTTTCAAACCACTAGCCCTCTATTTTCAGAGTTTACACAAACCTTCCTGCTTGTTACATAAAAAATCTACATTAAAGAAAAAAAAAACATCATACAAGAAGTACTGTGCTAGAGAAATCTAAGTATTTTCTGTCATTGAAATTTTGATAAACAATATTTTAACGGTTAAAAATTAGCACGATATAACTAACGTTTAAAAAAAAAAACCAGAAACAATAATAATTAATAAAGAAGGCTCCCACGTCAACATTGCACAATGAATGTGGTCAAAAATTGGTAGCTAACCTTCAAATGACAGACATATGATAGTTACGTGGGCAGCAAGACATGTTTTACAAGATATTGAAAGATTGAGAAAGTGATCATTTTACTGCAGAAGAAAACAAAGCAGTGTGAAATTATTTAGTTTTTGCCGAAAAGAAACAGATAAAGACGGGGAGAGAGATAGAGTGCAGAGATAAAGACGAGGGTGGGGAGAAGTTGATGCTCAATAATTTTCAAGAGCCTTAATTTAGTAATATATGTTTCCTTAAAGGAAGAATATTTCTCTTTTCAAATAAAAAAATATACCTGATAATGACCTGCTCTGCATCCCCGATTCTTTCTTCTTCAACCTAGATATCTAAAAAGAAATAAGAAACGATTTCATGAAAAGAGAGATACCCTGTCTTCTTCTTTACTCATGGCGCAGCAGTTAACAAGTTAATTACTGTTTGATCACATCAAACCCTAAAAGGATAAACTCAGCAAAGTTACAAAAGAACTCTGAGAAAAACTTATTATTCTCTTGTGATCATTGAGAATAATAAGACACTAAATTTTTATTAAAGCAAATTAGAGAGCTAAATAAACTAGTGTTGAAGATTTTCATCCAAAAAAAGTGTAGGAACAAGGAAAGTAGAAAACATATTAACAAGAAATAATAGTTCTTGAATTTTCTTCAATTGAATAATAGTACATAATTAGAAAAACTTCATAACTCTATGCATTAAAATTGCAGATATAGCTATGAATACACTATTAAAAAGAAAATAGGAAACTTTATGAACTTAAAAGGTAATTACTATCTCATTTCTTTATCCACACCACAGGATCTTCATTTATTACACGGAAGCTTTGATTATAATTATGTCACACATCTTAGCCATTCATTTCCCATCCCCAACTTCAAGACCCCACCACCCAACATATCTAATCTAATCAAACCCTCGGGTCCTATCACACCAAATTAAATTTATGGGATAAATACATTATTTATATCCTATTTTTTCACAAATCTATAAAAAAAAAATTTATATTTACATGTGTATTTCTAATTTTATTTATTTGAATATAATTTTAGGAAATTAATACTTTTATATATTAGATAAAATAAAAATATAATATACATGTCTATAAACATCATATAGTTCCTACTTTATACGGTTATATTTATTTATTTTTATTTGAATTAATGTATTTAAATTATTGATTTTGTAAAATCGTATTCAATTAACTAAAATTAAAAATGCATATATTTAAACTAAAGATACAAAATTTTATTAATTTGACGAGTTTGTAAGAACACATAATGTAACTAGTAGGATTAGCCATATTTCTACAATTCATAATTTCACGTGACGACAGATTCAAAGAGGAGCTTTTGAGCGCACAAATCATTTTACTGGTAGTTGAACTTTGTAAGAACGTGGGTTTGGTGTAAAATATTCCAAGTGGACGAAATGTGAGAAAATGACTACTCATAATTTCCAACGTTATGTTCTCTGCCTTTCTTGTCTACCCTTTTTGTGTTTTCTGAGTTTCGAGGAAACCAAAATAATGGAGAGAGACGGCATAGAAGAAGGGCTAGAATCAGCAACAAGCCCTCTACTTCTTCTTGGCGAAAAGAGCATCGGTGAAAGCGACAAACCAACCAGCAATCACTCCATCACTCCTCTTCTTGTCTTCAGCACCTTTGTTGCTCTCTGTGGTTCCTTCAGCTATGGATGTTCTGTAAGTATATATATAGTAGCTAGTGGCAAAGTCAGGATTAATTTTATGTAGTTCTGTTTATGATCAACTGATGAATATTAGCAAAAATTTAGTGCTAATTGAACTTCAAATTTAGCTTTTTTGTTCGTCGTATTAATTTGTTTTCTATTATATTATCTTATTTTGTTAATTAAATAGTAGAAGAAAAATCCAAGTTCCAATATTAATCATTACAAGTTTATGTTATTAAAGTCTACAGTTAATTAATGGCCACCCTTGACGCTTGAAATTTAGCAACGTTATACTTTGATTAATTAAGGAATCTAACCTTAGATTAGCATGCCGCTTAGCTTAATATTTTATCCCAAAATATCTTGAGTAGGAGCCAAACACCTTTCGTGATGAATTGTGAAATTAACGATCTTTTTCATTGGCAAGTGCCCCACATGACGTTCGCTACATATTTAGGTTTTGGCCAAAATAAGTTCAGCCTTGTACTATTTTTTTTTTATTTGCCAACGGCAAAAAGACATCCTGTTTCTTAGCTGATTTTTTTTTATCTATTTTGATGAGAAATAGAAGAGAGAAAATCACATCCAAAACCATAAAAGTCATGAGAATATTTTTACTTAAACTTTTTTTTTTTTTTAATTCTTTTGTGTTTATCTTGCTTTTATTGAATAGGTATGATTAGCTGTTTGGTGAATAATATAAGATTTCTGATGCATGCACACGCTCAAAAAACTAAAGAAGGCCATAGCATTTAAAACGTAATTATGGAGCTGAAAGGTGCATGTTGTAAAATTTTCCAAGACATTGACTTTTTTTATTACCAACTGCAATTTTTATTTTACTTTTTTTCCTCATTAAAATAAAAACACGTTACCTATTACGTTGACTATGATTGGTATTTCTTGTTAGGTGGGTTATTCATCTCCAGCTGAATCTGGAATCATGGAAGATTTAGGCCTCTCTGTTGCAGCAGTTAGTACTGCTAACCATTACGATCTATTCACTTCTCTTTCTTTTTTGCTGACTGAATCAATTACTTTCAATCTCTAGCTGCGTGTAACCACTGATAAATATTTATTTAATTAGTATTCTAAATGACTATTAATTACGTTTATTGGAATGTTTCAATTAATCTAGCTGCGCACAAATGAAATTTTATCAACATTAAAAAAAGACTCTTAACATTGTGCATATATTTCTGTATTTGATTTGAAGCAATTAATTATTGTTAGCTTTTTTCAGAACAAGTTTTCTTATTTCCTAGTATTAGCTTGAAAATTTTTTAAATCTTTAAAATGTAACTATTAATATTTACTTTACAAGTCGACTTTAAGAAAAGAGAATAACAAAAAATAAAAAATTAAATCTGGAATTACAAAAAATGAAAAGAATAGTTTCATTTAGAATCAATAGTTTTCTTTATTGAAAGAAATTTCTCTTTTTTCTTGTTTTTTTTTTTTTTTAAATAAGTACTGGTAATTACTCTTTGCATACCATGAAATTTCTCGTATTACCGTGTCCCACCTTTTTTCTTGGCTTGATGGGTTCTTTCGTGTTTCTTTACAATCTGCAGTACTCAGTTTTTGGTTCGATAGTGACCATCGGAGGAATGGTAGGTGCCATCTTAAGTGGGAAGATGGCAGATCTCGTCGGTCGAAGAGGAGTAATTTCCTTGATAACATTTATTATTACCCTTTAAAGTTCAACTATAAAAATTTATACCATTATGCCCTTAATTATTTTCAGTTAATTTGTTTTAATTTTATGTCAAGCAGTCAATGTGGATATGCCAAATAGTTTGCATGGCAGGCTGGCTAGCAATAGCATTTGCTAAGGTTTTTATTTCCTCTCCCCACAAAATTTTCCCATTCTTTCTATCTCAAGCACATAATACATTTCTTGTGGAGCCAACTAGTGTTGATTTCTTGTTTAAAGAATGCTTGGTGTCTGGACAATGGAAGATTCTTAGTTGGAGTTGCAATGGGGATTCTTACTTATGTGGTAATTAATTACACAAGCTTCCATTTCATATTTGATGAACATCTCTATGTAGCATACATATAATGTAGTCTGCATTTTTCGGTACAGGTACCTATATATATTTCAGAAATAACACCTAAGAACCTGAGGGGACGATTTACTTCAGCTAATCAGGTTAAACTCAGTTTGTAAATGCAAAGAAAAATCAACGAGTTTGCTCTCCTTTTTGATGGACACTTGCATTTTCATCTGTATATATATAGTTGTTGGTGTGTTGCGGCTTTGCAGTAACGTTCTTCGTAGGAAGTGTGTTGAGTTGGCGTGCCTTGTCTCTGATAGGTAATTTTGTTCCCTTTTTCTAAGATTAAAACAACATTAATTAGCTTATAATAGAGTATTAATTGAGTTAATGTGATCTTGTTTTCAGCTACTATTCCAAGCATAGTGCAAATTGTATGTTTATTCTTCATTCCGGAGTCTCCAAGATGGCTGGTGAGTCCAACTTACGATACTGTTGCTATTGGAGGAATATATGGAGAGCTTCCATTTTGAGGCGAAAATGAAGACTAAATTCTCTAACAGGCAAAACTCGGTCGCGAAAAAGAGTTTGAAGCTGCATTGCAACGTCTTAGGGGAAAGAAATCAGATATTTCTGAAGAAGCAGATGATATCAGAGTAACTTTCAACTTCATATCATGAATCAAACTAACTGCAGGTTTTCTTATAATCAAGTTTCCAGTTTTGATGGTTTTGAGTTCCATAACAAGAGATGACATTTGGTTCTTATAGGAGGCTATAGAAACCTTGAAACACACCTCGGCCGAAGCTAGAACTCTAGAGTTGTTCCAGAGGAGATATGCTTATGCAATTATTGTAAGTTTGTCGAGTCTTGAATAAGTTCTCTATTTTGTATATAAAATTTTTATCTGTTTGGATATTTCTTTGAATCCATTAACTGGATTAGGTTGGAGTAGGACTAATATTACTGCAAACATTCGGAGGGAATAGCGGGGTGTCATATTATCTCGGTACAATATTTGCGAAAGCTAGTAAGTCCACAGCAAATGAGAAAGTTCTAATTGAAGATATAAGCATACGTACATGTATTAACCTGCAATGTGAAGAAGGAAGATAACATAATGACTTCTTTGTTGTTTTCCATAGATGTTTCAACCTCTATCGGACCTATAGTTTTCGCTCTTCTACAGGTAGATACATGATTTTGCTTGTTTTATTTTCCTGAAGGTGACTAAGTGAGTTTGCTTTCTTTACATCTTAATGACAGTAGGTAATATTTTGCAGATTCCAACATCTATTGTAACTGTACTCTTAATGGATTTATTCGGAAGACGGACACTTCTTATGGTTAGAACTCACAATGGCAATAATTTGTTCTATTTTGATGTAGCTGTTAATTAATCAATTAATCAAGGTTGTAACCAAATCTTCCAACATATTTTGCAGGCTTCCGCTGCCGCATCGTGCTTATGCTTGCTCCTCGTAGGGTTATCTTTCTGCTTCCAGGTAATTTAACCAAAAACATGGAGAAGTACTATTTCTATTCCTCTTCACAATGTTGTTTTTTCCTTCTTTGTATTGTGATATATCCTTTTTCCTTGGTTTGAATGAGCAGGAATTCCACTATCTGAAGGAGCTCACTCCAATTTTGACATTGGTTGGCATACTGGTAATTTAATCTACCCAAAAAAAATAATATTATTTTTAGTCCTTGACAAGAAAAATAAATCTCCCATTTTGACAACATTTTGTCATTTATTTTGCACTTCCATCATCCCCTAGCCTGGCAAACTACCAAAACTTCAGAATTTTTCTGTGCACTCAAATCCCATATTTAGAATGAGCAGAAGCTCACTACTCGAGTACCTGTATTAATTTGTCTGATTTTATTTCGAGCAAACTTTCCTTACAAATTACACATCATTGTGCTCATAATTGATCAACTCTATATAACCAGGGTTTCGGTATCGGTTTTGCCTTAGGCATGTCAGGAATACCTTGGGTTATAATGGCAGAGGTAAGTACGTAATGGAATTAGACTTGAACTTTCCATCTGTATCTATTTATGACAGAAGAATTAATGAAACAGAAAAGGATTTATAAGTTAAGCATATGAGTTTTCACTGCAGATTTTTCCTGTAAATGTTAAGGCATCAGCAGGAAGCCTTGTGGTTTTAACTAGTTGGGCTAGTTCTTGGGTTGTGACATACACATTTAACTTCATGTTGGAATGGAGTTCAGCTGGTGAATCATCCTCTCTCTCTCTCTCTCTCTCTCTCTCTCTCTCCCCTCTCTCCCCTACCGTTCCACAAACGCACAACCACACACAAATTGGTGAACATTTTTGGATTAATATTTTGTGTTGGATATTATTTTGCAGGAACATTTTTCATCTTCAGTGGAATGTGTGCTTTAACTATTTTATTCGTATGGAGGTTGGTGCCAGAGACAAAGGGACGGACATTGGAAGAAATACAATCAACATTAATCACTCCTTTCCCAGGACAAGACTCATAGTAATAGGGAAATTCTAAAGCTGGTGATGCTTAGCTTAAAGTACAATGTTGCACCGAGGACATGAAATTTTTCCCAAATTATTTAACTTATGAATATAAATAATTATTGAATTCATACAATAAATTGGTGAAATTCTGGGCATTGAGTCTTGATTCTATAACTTATCATGCAATGAAGAAAGCCCGTTTATTTCGAAAGAGAGATGGCAATTCAGAGCCATTGAGCTAAGCTTCTATCTTATTGAAGTGCCAAAAAAATCATCCAGCTCAAAAGACTATCTCCAATCTAAAATGTTTTAGTATAACATCAAAATAATACTTTTGAGATTTAAAAAAAAAAAAATCTTAAAATCACCAGAAACCGCAAGTCAAATGGAGCATTAGAACGCCTTAAATAGAGACGTTCAACCTGATATTCTTTGTCAATATGTTGAACACCAGGGTTGAAAGGTTGCGAACGAGTTTATTGTTGTACTAAAACCTAACAATTACATTTTATAACATTAGGAAATTCTATTATAATTGTGAAATTCCAAACAAATAAAAGTTGGGAAATTACTATAACCTCAAAGCGGATCTTTCCAGTCCAAAATGAAAGGCAAACATCTAGAGTTCCAGTCCAGCATGACATACACACATCTAATCAACCAACCAGCCCAGATATGATGTCAATGCAATCAAAAACTTGGGCACTGCAAAAGTCACAACAACCAAAAAAAAAAAAAAGGAAAGGTGGCAAGGAGGAGCATATTCAATATATTAAAAAGCACGTCCACAAGTCCTAACCCTTGAAACTTCTAAAACCGAATTGAACCCAGGTCAAGATGAAACACCACAAATCCCACATCCTACTCAAAAATCCAGTTGACAGGGTCAAACTTCTACTTCTTCCCTTCTTTCTCGGCTTCTGCAGCCCTCTTCAGCCTGACACCAACATGGCGTGCATTCGTTCGCTCCACACGGAGCTTGTCATAAGCCTTGAATGACTTCATCTCTTCAGTGACCTTCACAAGCTCCACGGATGGCTTCTCACGTGCAATAGGCATAAACTGTCCTTGTACTTGGGTAGCAGTTGCCAGTTCCTCGGGAGCAGAATCACCAGCCTGCAAGAACACAGGTATATAATGAAATTCCAAATAGAAAAACAGAAAATCATCAAATAATTCAGCCATACAACAGAAGTACCTTGGGCTTGCGAGCACGTCTTGGGAAGACAACCAATTTGGCCTTGTATGTTTTCAGCCTCTGAACGTTAGTTTGGAGACCCTCCAGAGAGCGATTCCTGCGACGGTGATCAACTGCAATTCCTATTGTAGGAGCAAGTTTCTTTGGAATACCAGCGGCCTGTGAAAGAAAAAGAAATTGGTTATTCACCATACAGTATACATATATATGGTTGCCATAGAACCACAAATATCCAATAATAGATAGAAAGTGAAAGTCATTCCCAAGACTCCATCTATACCCAAATTAAATTTAGGTATCCATGCTCACAGAGTAATGTGCCATGAATAACAAATAGATGCATACATACATACATATAATTGTTGTTAACACAAAACATTTCCAAGTTAAAATCTGAAACTGGGCATAGAAAAAATACAACCCTATATAAGAGTAAAAAGAGACCCTAACCTAAAAGTTTTAAACAAATACATGCAATTAATGACAAAAAAACAATTAAATTTTGGAGACTAGAAGATAATGAAACATGAAAAAGTACTCAACAGAATTAGGATAAAGAAAACCAACTAACCTTGAGTTCTTCAAGAGAAAACCCTCTACCAGCTCTCACTTTCATATTATACTTCAAAGTCTGGCCATGCACAATGGGTCGAAGAGGTCCAGCTGTAGGCCGAGGAAAGATTTTGACCGCCTTCTTCTGACGAGCTGAAAATGGTTTAACAGATAAAAAAGCAATGAATATTGTAAACAAAAGTACTTCCAAAAAAAGACCCTAGAAACAATGACCAAACGTGCAGTACATGTATATATAGGGACCAGAGATGGGTTTATTCTATTACAAATATTAACAAGAAAGAAAAGATAAAAGATATTCACCAATGCGTCTGCGGGTCTTTCGGGCTGGTTGGTTAAACCATGTCTTGACATAGTTTTGCCAGTGTTTCTTGAAGTGCCCATTGGGCACAACGTTGTTATGCTTAACCATGTCTTACCTGACAGAGTAAGAGTTACAGGGTTAGAGACATGGCATTGCCCTTATGATGCAGTCAAGTGAAAGGAATAATGCTGACAACATGAAGAAGGCAAAACTTAAACTCGAAATAATACAAGCAAAGCAAGCTATAAACTCGATTTGTTTTTACTGGAACACCATGAGCTTACCATTAGTAAACAAAATTATTTAGTCACTTATTATTCATTCATAGATGAGAATAAGAAACTAAAACTGGCAGGCCGGAAAGAAAGCAAAGAGAGCAATAAATAACTCATAATCACTACAGCAAATCCAAAATAATCAGCAGAAACTTAACCCACAATTCTAACGAACTGTCTAGCTCCCTAGAGCAGAATAGCTCAATCATATCAAATCATTATGTCCTCATTCCAAGAATTGAGAATTTAAATTTTGTGGTTAAAATCTCTCTATCAATTTATTAGACAAAACAAGATACACATCGAAGCAGCAGAATGGAGAACACAGAGAGAAAAATCTGCATAAAGGATGTGGAAAAAAATCCAAAATAGAAAATCGCTTAATAACTCTTGTGCAGCGTAACCAAAAAACAGCTATCCACTAGCTAAGAAAACGAAAACTAAGCACAAATCCACAAATAAAAAGTAAATCATAGTTTATATCTCTTTACTCTTTCACTTTCTCAGCAGCCAAACATGTAGAAGCGATTACACAAAGAAGCAAACACCATAAAGTAAGTAGATATAAACAGTAAGCGATGCTTAAACTAAAGTGAAAGGGAAGAGGAGAAGAGATACCTGTTAGCGAGAGGCGCGGCTGGCAAGATGACGGGCGTAGGGTTTTGCACTTGCAGTTTCAAGACACTCTTATTGTAGTATTTTGCCCTAGGCATAGGAATAGGATATGAGAACTAATCTTTTTGGGCTTAGGCTTGCTCTCTAGTAATTGTTTCAGCCTTTTCACAATTTAAGCTTCAAATCTGATAAGGCCCAATATAATGCGGCCCAACACTACTAACCAGATCCCATAATTAAAAAAAAAAAATTTCATATTTTTACTTGTGTGAGACTTCCACTGTAGAAAACTATAACCATAGGACTAGATAATGTTTCTAAACTAAAATTTAGTCATTGAAATTTGAGTAAATTATAAACCAATCCCTTTAATTTTGAAAAACTAATTAATTAATCTTTTTAATTTCAAAAATAATTATTTAATCTCTTAATCAATGTTAATCATCCTTAATTTAATATTTTTTATTTCAAAAAAGTCATCATGTCTCATCAATATTTGTATATTGGTATTCTCATCAATATTTCTATTTTTTTTTTACTTTTTTTAAAACAAAAAAATCAACATAAATTGAAAAGAAAAGGAAAGTGTTACAAGAAAAATTTTAAAAAATATATAAAAACTAAATAATTAGCTTTTAAAATAATAGAAATAATTAATTCATTTCTTAAAATTAGAGAAATTGATTTGTAATTTACTCTGTTTTATTTTCATCTAAAGTTTTACTTTATACTTCTAAAGTTTGTGAAACAAAATGCATATTTTTAGGTGAATTTGAATTAGATATGTGGAGGAAAAAGAAACATTAGTTTCATGAAAAAACTAAAGAATTAAAGTCTGGTTTAAATGATTGGTTTAAGTGATAAGTGAATTCTTAAAATATTATCTTAGTTTCAAATTTAAGAGAAATTGTAAAAAAAAAATCCTATGAATATATAAATGTTGATGGTTGATGATTCTAATAAATTTTGACATGCAAGTGATTTAAGTAATTGTTCTAATATTCCACATATACTAAGGTTAATGGCCTTTTTTATGAGGAAAAAAAGAAAGAAAGAAAGAAAAACCTCGTCTATTATAAATTATTGGGTGTTTTTTAATTTATGACGCTTATTTAGCAAACACCGGATTAGATTTTGCATGAATAAATTGAAAATGTATATAGTGAATTTTTATTAATTCATAATAATAAATGTCTTGATTTTTTTGAAGGCTCTTATTTTAATTATTTGGTACTTCATAATAATTTTGAGCAAATCAATTAGATCTTTTACTGTTTTTGGAAAAAAAAATTAGAACACTCAAGAACGATGAGTTCATTTTAACCAGAGATTGATATTAGGATTGACGAAAAAAAATCATATCTAAACTCACCAAATAGAATAGATATATCTTAAATATTCTTTTTGTCCTAAAGAGTTTGTATCGTTTGAATTTTTAACACATGGTTAAAATGACTAAATTTAGAAAATTCAGGGACCTAATTTACTTTTATGACAATTATTACTTACTCCCCAGCAATAAAAACAGAAGACAAAGCAGTCAACACCGAGTGGGTCCCTTCCAGCAGTCTAACTGTTATGGTGTCTTAGTGATCTTCAAGTCCTACTGAACAAAAAAACAAAAACTCTCTCACCAAGCTTGAACTTGAACTCATCTTTGCTTCATGGTCCCTTAATTCTTTTGGCTCAAATACATCTTGCCCTTTCAAGAAATTCAAGGTAAGGGTTGGCAAAGCATGGAAGAAGGAGAAATATCTAGCCCTTTACTTGTCGAAGAAAGGACTCAAATACATGGTGCCAGTGGAGGAGAAGAGCAGAGAGGAGGTTCTTCAGCAACAACTATGGTGGTGTTTAGTACCCTTGTTGCTGTGTCAGGTTCATATGTTTTTGGATCAGCTGTAAGTATTTTGATAATTACCTTTACTAAGTACATGTGTCGCACATGAAAGATTGCCTATTCTGATAAATGATGAATATGTTGGATTGAATTTTGATTTTGTGTCCTGCAGAATCTTGGGATAAACTTACATTAATTATTACGAATTTTTATTTCTTGTAAATGATGCATTAGTTTGATTAAATTTACATGGTTTTAGAGGTAAATAATCCTTAAGGCTTTAACAATGGATGAATTCAGTAGTAATGGATTTGCAAATAAGAGATCACGAGTGGTAGGCCGGATACTGGTTTGCTGTTAATGTTGTGAGGCAGAAGGCAGCGGCATGACAATTTCTTTATTCTGAAAAGCCTTTTTGGTTCCTCATTAAAATGCATTTAATTTTGACAAAAAAAAACATGAAGTTTGAAAGTAACTAGCATGATACGTTTGGGAAAAGATTTGGCCTCCCTTTTATCGATGAAAGATAAGCACTGGATTGCAATTACTATCAGTGCTTTTAATCTGAGGATCTTCAGATCTCAACTTGGATTTTGAATGATTTAAGTACTAACTTTTGATGAAAATGTTTATATTTGTATATTGAGGTGTGAAGGTTTTCTATTCTATTTGTTTCTTTTCTGGAGTGTATAGCAGTCCTTGCAAGTGTGATAATGGTGAAATTATCTGGCCTAGTGTGCTCAACGAGATCCCACGAAAGAACTGTTCATCTGATTTATGGACTAAACTACATATAATTTATGTACAGATAGGATATTCATCACCTACTCAACCTGGAATCATGAAGGACCTGGCTCTCTCTGTAGCAGAGGTAAGCAATTATAATACAATGTTCAGTAAAATCTTTTGATCTGTTCAATAAGTACATCATTTTCTTTTTTTACATAAAATGCCTTGGACTGTTTCTTTTCTGTTTGTAGGCGCATGTATCTCTTATATGCAGTCTTGTTCTAACACATAAATTGATATTTAGTTGATCTATGAAATGAAAATAATCTTGATTGCTTAGTTATCAACTCTTTCCAAATTGTTTCTTTCGCAATTTGCTATGCAGTACTCACTTTTTGGTTCAATATTGACGATTGGGGCCATGATAGGCGCAATAATGAGTGGAAAAATAGCAGATTATATTGGTCGAAGAGGTGTAAGTACTACTCTGGAATTATGACTAACTGTACTATATTAGCACTATAAAGTTCTACATCAAGCAATTGTTCAGATCTTGATTTTTCTCTACTTTGGCTGTGACAAACCAGACAATGGGCTTTTCAGAAATATTCTGCATTATAGGGTGGATCCTAATAGCATTCTCCAAGGTTCTCTTCTCATCTCCTTTTACATCCATGCTTATGTTCTATACAGTTCCTTAGTAGAATAATGAATGCTTCAATGTTTTTATTTCTTTTCTTGCCTTGTTTTCGAAGGGGACATTAGGTTGACTGGGAGATATTATCGGAATTCTTTAGAAAATTTGAGCAATTCGAAATTAGAATAGCAACTCTTCATTGGAGTAGTGCCCCATTCACTAATGAGATGACATATTAGATAATCATTATGATCAGAAAGCTGAAAATAAATTTCATTTCTATGTTTCTTGTATTCAATCAATATTTTAAATGTTTCCAGTATATGTTGCAAGGTTGCTTGGTTGCTTGATGTTGGAAGACTGCTTGTAGGGTATGGCATGGGCCTTCTTTCCTATGTGGTAATTCTCTTACAGCATTATGATTCACATTTGATTACTCATTCATGCATCAGGAGTAAGTCATTTGTGTTTCAATTAATGAAAAGGTTCCCATATACATAGCTGAAATTACTCCTAAGAATCTTCGAGGAGGTTTTACAACAGTTCATCAGGTATAATGCTAAAGCATTGTAAAGTCCAGTTAGTGTATAATGTTGGCTCTATATTGAGAATATCATTTTCTGATGCTCTACTTACCACTGATTCTGCAGTTGGTGATATGCTGTGGGGTGTCAATTACATATCTTATTGGAGCTTTCGTGTCCTGGAGAATCTTAGCTCTAATTGGTAACATTTCTGTCTGCTTTGGTGGCCTTACAATGTAATGTGAAGGTATAGTTTCATGACAGCTGGCTTGTCTGCGGTTTCAATTCAGGAACTATTCCATGTATTGTTCAGATTGTCGGTCTATTCTTCATTCCAGAATCTCCTAGATGGTTGGTGAGCAATACTCCAAAATTGTAAACAACTTTGCATGGCCATGAATGGATTGCAATAGTGTTTTAGAGGAAACAAAAGTAACAAAATTGTCGTTTCTCAATGGTCATTGCTGCTCAAGAAACTTCCGAGTATTTGTGTGGCCATGTAAATTGCTAAGTATCTTGTTAGTCATATAGTGAAGAAAAGCTAGCATCCGTTGACATGAGATTTGAGAGTATATGGTAAATGACTTTTGCAGGCAAAGATTGGGCGAGGTAAAGAGTGTGAAACAGCTCTACAGTGCCTTAGAGGGCACAAGGCTGATATTTCTGATGAAGTAGCTGAGATTAGAGTAAGCTTTCTACTTCATACGTACAAGATAAAATTAAAGTTTTTCAATCTGCTATACATTTGAATTTTCAGCTCATTGCTTTGACAGAGGAATTGAGATTGATTTTAATGGTTGCAGGATTACACAGAAACCATTCAGCAGCTTTCAGAAGCTAGCATATTTGAATTATTCCAGTGGAAATATGCTCATTCCCTCATCGTGAGCTTTCTGTGATACGTCCTACGTGAAATTTTTTCTTTTTTTTCCTTTGAATTTGGAAAAATCAGTTGAAATAAATTTAAGAGTAAATGAGATTTGTTTAGGTTGGAGTTGGCCTGATGGTACTGCAACAATTTGGAGGGGTCAATGGCATTGCATTTTATGCAAGTTCCATATTTATATCAGCAGGTAGAATGAAGGATCTTTCTTTAATTAATTATACAAAGATGATATAAATTGGAGAAGTGAGCATATGAATCCCTGATTTTATGACAGGGTTCTCTGGCAGTATTGGGATGATTGCAATGGTTGCTGTTCAGGTTATGACTCTTTCTGTTATTAAGCATTGGATTCAGCTTAATCTTTTTCAGAGAGAGTCATAAACATTAGAATTTGTTTTCTGCAGATTCCAATGACAGCACTTGGAGTAGTTCTGATGGATATATCTGGACGACGTCCTCTTCTGATGGTAAGAAGGCCTAGAAATTGTTCAAAGTCTGTGTTGTTGTCTGAATGATACTCCATCCTGAAGTCGGTCAATTTTTACAGGTCTCTGCAGCAGGAACATGCTTGGGTTGCTTTCTTGCAGCATTATCATTCTTGTTCCAGGTTCTTCTGAAATAAAATCTATTCTCTCGGAAATGTTTTTCATTTTTTATGTAAATTTCCTCAGAGCACATATCTTTTTATTCCAGGACCTCAATAAATTGGTAGCGGTCTCTCCATTTCTAGCACTTTTTGGTATACTGGTAATATTAGCCAAATAACTATAGAAACAACTTGTCTTTTCTTTTTTGATGTACATGTTAGTTCTTATTCTTACATATCATTCTATCAGATTTATACAGGATCATTCTCACTAGGTATGGGAGGGATTCCATGGGTTATTATGTCTGAGGTGATTTTTTTTTCTTTGATAAACTTTTCAAATACGAAAAAATGACTAGTAGCTTGACGATAAAAATGGTTTCAATCTCAGGTCTTCCCTATAAACATGAAGGGCTCAGCGGGAAGCCTAGTGACACTAGTTAGCTGGTTAGGTTCTTGGATTATATCTTATTCTTTCAACTTCTTGATGAATTGGAGTTCAACAGGTAATGTTCTCTCTTACCATTTCTCTCTCTATGATCTGTGTAGATAAAATCTAAATCATAGTGTAAACATTGTTTGGCCTCAGGAACATTCTTCATATTCTCATCCATATGTGGCCTAACCGTCCTGTTTGTGGCAAAGCTGGTACCAGAGACCAAGGGGCGAACACTAGAAGAAATACAAGCATCAATGAATCCGTTTTCAAGGAAGAGATAAATATTTCTAGCTTCAAGCTCATACAACATCCGTTCCTTCTTTTTCTTCCTTAATGTAACATCTTACGTAGGTAATTAATGCCTGAGCCTGACTATTGTGATTTGTGTCAACTCAGAATTCCTTTTTATCATTTCAGCTTAAGACACATTACAAAATAACATGGAAACGGCTTGGTTCTGCATGTATTGATGACCCGCCAAAGGAAAAATGCATAGCTTTGCAAAACAAAAAAAAATTAAGACATGCCTCACTCGAATAATTCTAGCTAGTAGCCATTGATGCTCACAGAGCCTAACAGATGGTCAATTGATTTGATGTCTACCTGCTTATTTACTGCCTTCTTATTGAAACTTCATGAACAAATTTCCATATAAACAAGCTAATGCATTTTGTCCCGAGAGCTTTGTAAGACGGATCATTTTGGGCAGAGACAAATCCTCTTGGGATCAAAATTAAATTTCTTTTTATCCACAAACATTTTGGAAAGAGCTTTGTAAGATGGAATCTGGGAAACTGTAATTGGGCTAGGAAAAAAAAACATTCTCCGAAATGACACTACATACATTCGAATAGTTAGAATATTAATTGAAATTAAAATTTTTTAAATGATTTTAAAGTCACACTCTTTACATCAGCTTAATAAAATTAAATGATTTTTATAAATTTTCTTAAGCACTGCTACAAGATTTGAACTCGGAAATTCATATTTCTTGTTCGAAGTTGTTGTGCTACTAGTACTAGCACTGGAAATTAATCGGCGCACACCAGATTTGACTCTGATGATAAAAGTCAAGCTAATCGGGCCATTCCAAACTGGTTGCATTATTGCTTCTTCTTCTTCTTTTTTCTCACTATTTTTTTTTATACTAATTCACTATATTCAAATCGTTTCACTGAAATTATAATTTCTTTCATGGTAAAATGGGATTTACAGCTGTTTCTCTCGTTATTAAAACACTTTAGTAAAAAAAGAAAAAAAAAAAAGAAAAGAAAAGAAACTGCGGTGACCTGGGGCTTGGAGTCAACAGCTTGGTGACCACAAATGTCTTATTTTTATCCAGTCCACAAATGCCTCTGTGACTTACCTTTTTTCTCCCACTCACTACCAACTACTTTCATAGAGATAACTGCTTTGATTCTGTAGTGACTGTCTTTGCTCTTCATTCAGTCTTGATGAATCAGTAAAACAATCTCTCCGCAACGTTGCTTTTTTTAGTTTGAGGTACGCCCTTCGCTTTCAGTTGTCCCTTCATTTTGCGAAGTTGTTTGTATTTTGTGTTTTTTTTTTCTAATCTTTAGAAGAAAAAAGAAAAAAAATTGCCTGTTTCCTTGGATTTTTAACTTGTAGAACTTTTTATCATTCTCTCTTGCTTTTTGCTTGTATCCACTCTTAAAAAAGAAAGAAAGGGGAAGGAAAAAAAAAAAAAACAGAGAGCGTTGGTTGTTTCATTTTCTTCTTGATTTTGTAGTTAAGCTTTCTTTTGCTTGTCAAAAAATAAATAAATAAATAAAACAGAGACAGAAATCCTTCAGAAACGAAATGGCAACGGATATCGTTCTTGCCGTTTTATCCCCTGTTGTTGAGCATACAATTGGTCCCATTAAAACACACATTTGTTATGCATTATATTGCAAGAGCAACCTTCAAAATCTGAAGGAGGAAGTTGACAAGTTGAAGACTGCGCGAGAAAGTTTGCAACACAGGATGGATGAGGAAACAAGAAACGGGAAAGTGATCGAAGAGTGTGTTCGGAAGTGGCTTCTTCAGGTGGATGGTATCATTCATAAGATGGAAAGGGAACCTGCAGAAGATGAAGACCCAGCAAAGAAGAAGTGCTTCGGTGGATTGTGTCCAAATTTCAAATCACGCTACCAGCTTGGCAAGAAAGCAAAGGAGGAACTAGCAACAGTTACAACTACACTTGTTGAACAGCCCAACTTTAGTTCAATTTCTTACCGTGCTGCACCGGAGATGGGCGTCATTTCTACCAAAGGTTACCAGGCCATGGAATCAAGAATGCCAATTTTCAAAGATGTTATGAATGCCTTAAAAGTTGCTGGTGTGAATATGGTTGGGGTTTATGGAATGGGCGGTATAGGCAAAACCACGTTGGCGAAAGAGGTCGCTAGAGAAGCAACAGAGAACAAGTTATTTGACAAGATGGTTTTTGCGAGTGTCACCAGGACCCCGGACATCATGAAGATTCAAGGCGAAATTGCAGATCAGCTTGGCTTGACATTTGATGAGGAAAGTGAATGGGGAAGAGCAAATCGATTACGTGAGAGGTTAACAAAAGAGAAGAAGATTCTTATTGTTCTAGACGATTTATGGAAGAAGGTTGATTTAGAGGCAGTTGGGATTTCGCTTCAGGATGAACAGAAGGAATGCAAGATGCTTCTGACATCAAGAGAATATGATGTTTTATCGAGTGGAATGGATGTTCGGGAGAAATTCTCAATTAGTGCTTTAAATGAAGAAGAAGCTTGGGACCTATTCAAGACGACAGCAGGTGGTAATGTTGAGGATCCACAAGTGCAACCCATAGCACTTAAGATCGCAACAAAATGTGCAGGTTTGCCCGTGGCCATTGTAACCAGTGCTAAGGCTTTAAAGGATAAGAGCTTGCCGGAGTGGAAGGATGCATTGCGAGAACTGGAACGACCATCCCCAACAAACTTTACAGGAGTGCAAGGGGAAGTGTATAGCGCCATAGAACTAAGTTATAAGCATCTTGGAAGTGACGATTTAAAGTCAACTTTCCTTCTTTCCAGTCGAATGGGTTACAATGGCTCCACTGAAAACTTGTTGAAATATGGTATGGGGGCAGGTTTGTTTTCTGATGTTGCTACAGTAGAAGAAGCACGAAATAGATTGCATTCACTGGTTCATAAACTAAAGGCCTCTTCTTTGTTGCTTGATACTGATACTAGCAAGCAATTTTCTATCCATGATGTTGTTCGTGATGTTGCCATATCAATTGCCTACAGGGACTGCAATGTATTTGTGAAAAGTGATGCGGTTGAATTGAAATGGCGTGATAAGGATTCATTAAAGAAGTGCTCAGAAATTTGGTTGCATTGTAATTGCATTGGGCTTCCTGAAGATCTGAAATGCCCGAAGCTCAAGGTTTTTATTGTGAACAGTGGAGATCCTTCATTGGAAATATCTCAAAAACTTTTTGGGGGAATGCAAAAACTTAAGGTTTTGGGTTTGTCTAATTTGTCTTTTTCATCCTTGCATTCGTCTCTTCATTTACTGAAAAACCTTCGCTCACTATGTCTTCATCAATCTTCATTGGGAGATCAGATAGCAGTTGTTGGGGAGCTAAAGAAATTGGAAATCCTCAGCTTTGTGAAATCTGATATTAAACATTTGCCAAGAGTAATAGGGCAATTGACCAAGCTAAAATTGTTAGATTTGAGCGATTGTTCTGAACTTGAAATGATTGCACCAAATGTTATTTCAAGTTTGTCAATGTTAGAAGAATTGTGTATGGGCAACAGTTTTCATCATTGGGATACTGAGGGAAAACATAATGCTAGTCTTGTTGAGTTGGAACATTTGTCTCACCTGACTAATTTAGACATACATGTTCCAGATTATCGTGTTATGTCAAAAGACTTGTTCTCTCGAAACTTGGAAAGATATAGAATATTTGTAGGAGATGTTTGGGATTGGGAAGGTGCTTATGAAACCTCAAGAACATTGAAGATCAAGCTCAAAGATAGAGCTTACCGTTTGGAGCTGGGAATTTTGATGTTGTTGCAGAAAACTGAAGATCTATATATACTTGAATTGAATGGTGTTAAAAGTGTTATTTGTGAATTGGATAGAGAAGGTTTTCCGCTTTTGAAGCACCTCCATCTACATAATAGTCCAGATATTCAATATATTATTAACATGATGGATGAGGTACCTTCTAACATCCTTCTCTTTCCCATGTTGGAGTCACTGTTTCTGTATAATTTGGTATCCTTGGAGAAGATTTATCATGGCATACCGAGGACACAATCTTTTGGCAAACTACAAAGCTTAGAGGTTGAAAATTGTAACAAATTGAGAAACCTCTTCTCACTCTCCATGGCTCAAGGCCTTTCGCAGCTTCAAAGCATCAAAATAACCTCTTGCCTAAACATGGAAGAGGTTGTTGCCGAGGAAACTGAAGAATTTGACGGCAGGAATGAAGGAATTGATGCGATGGAGTTTACTCAATTGCACTTCATATCGTTACAATATTTACCACGTCTCAGTAAGTTCTACTCCAAAGAAAAGACATCTTGTGTATCTGAAACACAATCAAAATCATTGATAGCAGACGTGAGATTCAGAGAAATCATCTTGAATGATGAGCTGCTGCAGACTCCTACGCTACTTTTCGAGAATAAGGTACATAAAATACATGCAAGCATAGTTCTCAAAAAAATTCAGGGAAAAAAAAGAAGGAAATAACAATTATTTGTGGAAGAAAGTAAAATGAGCATTTTCTAAGTTTATGGCCTTTCGTTGAGGTTCATAGTATATAGTGAAGATTTTTATTTGTTGCAGTTATTATCCATCATTTTATTTCTTCTTGCTACGAAACAAGAATCATTTATTTCTTTTAATTAGAGAATATCGTTCTTAATGAAAAAAATTGATGCAGATCGTGTTTCCGAAATTGGAGGAGATGAATTTGGGCTCGATCAACACTGACAGGCTATGGAATGGCCAGCTTCCAGCAGTTTCCATTCAAAATTTGCAAAGATTGGTTGTGGCTGAATGTGAAAATCTGAAATATATATTTTCTTCATCTATGGTGAAAAGTCTAGTGCAACTCAAGCATCTTACAGTACGTAATTGCAAGTCACTGGAAGAGATAGTAGTGGCTGAAGCATCAACTGAAGAAGAAATAATGAGTAAGATGTTGTTCCCGAAACTAGAAGGGATTGCGCTCTGGTGGCTTCCAAAACTCAAACAGTTCTGCACCGGTTCTCTAATTGAGTGTCCATTGTTAAAAAGACTTCGAATTTCATGGTGTAGTAAATTTCAGACATTCATCTCGGATTTTAGAGGCACAAACTTCAGCTTTAGCAATGAAGCTGGAGAATTGAACTTAGAGGAGAAGTGCAGCAATGCCACACAACCTCTCTTCGATGAAAAGGTAAACCCTTTTTTTTTTCGCTTCTCCTTTTTGTTTTTGGTCGCTTCATTAACACTGCTTATGCTATTAAAATTCGCTTCATTAACACTGCTTATGCTATTAAATGATTACCACAGTTTATATCCAACAGATAAAAAAAAACAAAAAACTTATTGGTAGCCCATATTTGTTTGATTGAATTGATCGATCATGTTGTAGTAACATGTCATGTGTCGATTTTTAATGATCACAATATTTACCACGTCTCAGTAAGTTCTACATTCCATCAATATTTTAATTGAAATTTAATTTTGTTTAAAGATAGATTCCATTTTTGGTTCCTTTAAATCATAGCATTAATTCGAGCTTAAATTTTGTTTTATTTAAAGATTTGTCAATTTCACATATTTTTAGTAGACATAATGTGACATTTTTCTAAAATTTCAAACCAACTGAAATAAAATGTAAAGTTTGCAAGGCCTAAAGACCGCCTAATTCTCAAATCTTTTCATAACATCCTAACCTTTTTCTTCTTGTATTTCAAAACGAAATTTGTTGATTTTTTACCGTTAATATTTTGATAATTTAATTCTGCAAATAATGAACAACGTTGTATAAGATAATTTCTTTTCATTTTTAATTTATGCTAATTGACCAATTTCTGTTTTTTGGGTGTCCAATGCGTTTTACTTCCTCTTCCTTGCTTTGTGTACATTCTTCTACCTATTCTTTCAATTACTCACAAAGCGGAATGGATGACCGATTTCTATTCTTCTGTTGCAGGTTTTATTCCCTCGCTTAGCTGAAATCGAAATCTTGGAATTGGATAACCTGGAAAATATATGGCACAACCAACTTGCTGCAGGTTCCTTTTGCGAGCTAAGATCAATTGAAATTGAAGACTGTCCAAAGTTAGTGAATGTTTTTCCATCAATTTTGCTAAGAAGATTCAAGAGACTAGAGACACTGCGGATAGAGTCTTGTGAATTGTTAGAAGAGATATTTGAGCTTCAAGGATTGATTGGTGAAGAAAACGAAGCGTCTGATGCATTTCAGTTGAGAGACTTGGACTTGGAATATCTACCGAAATTGAAGCAAATATGGAAGGAGGATCCACAAGAAATACACAACTTCCGAAATCTACATTCAATAATTGTTTCATATTGTGATGCTCTGAACAATCTCTTTCCATTCTCCATTGCTAGAGACCTTCCTCACCTTGGAAAGCTTGAGATAGAACAATGTGTGTCGGTAAGGGAAATTGTTGCAAAGGTAGAAGAGGACGAAGCAGTCCCTCGTTTTGAGTTTCCTCAGCTAATCTCCTTGAGGCTTGCAGATTTACTAGAATTTAGGAGCTTCTACCCTGGGAAGCATACTTTGGTATGTCCAATTTTAAAAAGTCTGGCAGTGCTTGGACAAGGCCAACATGATAAATCGACTCAGCAGCCCCTTTTTTCGGTTGAAAAGGCATGAATCTGCATTATGCTTTTATTATTATTATTATTATAAATCTACATTCATTAATTGTTTCATATTTTTGATTGAACGGTTTCCAGGCGATCTCCAATTTGGAAGAACTTTCACTAGGTGGCAAAGGGACCAGTACCACTTCAATTATTAGGTGGCATTCCAAACTTGGGTCTGACGTGGATTCCAGGTTGAAAGTTCTAAAGCTGCTCAATTTTAAGAAAAACTCGGATCCTATTCCATTTGGTTTCCTACAAAGATTACGCAATCTGGAAACACTCTCTGTGAGGAGGAGTTCTTTCAAAAGGCTATTCTTAAATGAAGGACTTGTTGATGAGGAACATAAATTGAAGTTCACAAATTTAGTAATAGATTCAGTTAATGATATAAGGCATTTATGGGAGGAAAATCACGTAGTGCTTCCACTTCTTCAAAATCTCAAGACTCTACAAGTCAATTTTTGTCAAAGTTTGGTCAATTTAGCACCGTCCTCTGCATCTTTTCAAAATTTGTCAACTCTGGAAGTCCACTCTTGCGATGGATTATTGAACTTGATAACTTCTTCAACAGCAAAAAGTCTCGTGCAACTTGTCAAGTTGAGAATAAGATATTGTGAGAATGTGACAGAAATAGTGGCAGAACAGGAAGATGAAACAAACAATGAGATCGTTTTCAGCAAACTAGAATACTTGGAACTTGTTGCATTAGAAAGCCTCACAAGCTTTTGCTCAGGAAATTACACCTTCAAGTTTCCATCATTAAAAGAAATGGTTGTACAAAACTGCCCAAAAATGAGGTTTTTCTCTCCAGGAGCAGTAAGCACGCCAAAGTTGCAGGGAGTAGTTTGGCAAAGGTATCCAAAGAACGAAAGGCGTTGGCAGGGTGACCTTAATTCCACTATACGTCAGTTGTACACAGAAATGGTATGTACTTATGACTCTTACCTTAGTGCCTTGCTTGACACTTATCTAGGTAATTCAATTGTGCATTTTTATATCTTTTAGAGAATATTGGTCAAGTATTTAACCATGCAGTAATTTGGGTTGGGCAGGTTGGCTTATGGCATTTAAAGCTCTCCAGTTTTCCCCAGTTGAAAGAGACATGGCTTGGCCAGCTTCCAGCGAATTTCAATAGCCAATTATCCTTTGTTACTGTGGATGAATGTGCATCTCTCTCCACCGCTATGCCATCCAATGTGCTGCAGTTTATGCATCATTTGGAATATCTGACTGTGAAAAACTGTGATTCTCTTGAAGGAGTATTCAATTTGGAGAGTCTCAATGCTGAGGAAGGGCATCCTCTGCTATGTGCCAAGTTAGCAAAATTGAAGTTGATTGATCTACCAAGGTTGAGGCATATCTGGAACAAAGATCCTGAAGGAATTTTGGACTTCAAAAATCTTGAAGTGCTGAAGGTTCATAATTGTAGCAGCTTGAGAAATATATTTACACCATCCATGGCATTGGGCCTTGTGCAACTCCGCAAGATAGAAATAAGGAACTGTTCCATGGTGGAAGAAATCATCACAGAGGAGAGAGCAGAACAAGCATCAATAGATAGATTTATATTCCCTTTACTAAAAGTGATCATTCTCGAGTCTTTACCCAACTTAACCAGTATCTACTCTGGAAGTGCTATTCTGGAAATTCCATCCTTAGAAGACATAACCATAGACAGTTGTCCACATATGAAGACATTTGTTTCCTCAATTCTAAGGGAAAACGACCACAAGGTCAGTATGCATTTAAGCCTTTTTCAAAACATGCTAGTAACTTCTACTTCAATAATGTAAATGCAAGATAATGAATCTTAATATAACTCACTGTTTCCCTATTCATACAAAGTAATTTTACTAACAGTTTAGATCAATCATTTTATGCTATTTCTATGAAATGCGAAGAATCCTTTGGTTCGAAAGTAGCCTGACCACCAGTTCAGATCTCCTCCTTGTAATTATTTTATTTATGGCAAGTAAATACCAATCTGTGCAGTTCTCTATAAATTGCAGAAATGGCGTACTGACATGGCAAAGGAAAACTAACTCCTGCTTTCTTTTTGTCTTGTATTGGTCACCCAGGTTGCATTCCCAAACTTGAAAAAATTGAGCGTGGAATGGAATGAGATCGTGGAGGTGATACGACATGACCAATTTCGAGAAGAGTTCTTCTGCAAACTAGAAGATCTTGGGCTCGTCCACTTTCCTAGTGACTATGTTAATTTTCCTTCCGACTTTCTTCAAAGATTCACCAATTTAGAAAACCTTGTTGTAAACGATGCCTCTTTTGAAGAGATAGTCCAGCATGAAGAGACGAATAGTGGGAAGAAGCATATAGGGGTTCTTGCTCAGTTAAAAAAATTGAAGCTGTCTAGACTGCCGAAACTCGTGCATCTGTCAAATGAAGATTCACAGCCACGCTCAGTTTTTCAAAATCTGGAAGAACTAGTGGTGTTTAACTGTGGCAGATTGAAGATTTTAGTGCCATCCTCAACTTCTTTTCAATGTCTCACGACTCTGAAAGTTTCAAAATGTCATGGATTGATAAATTTGATGACTTCCTCAACAGCTAAACACTTTGTGCAACTCAGATGTATGAGTATAACTGAGTGCGATATGGTTGAAGAAATAGTGGTGAACAAGGAGCATGAAGCAGAAAATGAGGTTGTTTTCCCCAAGCTGAGTTGGATGAAACTTAGCTGCTTGCCAAACCTCACAAGCTTCCACTTGGGAAACTGCACATTCATGCTTCCGTCTTTGGAAGAAGTCGAAGTGAAAGAATGCCCCAAGATGGAAACTTTCTCTCAGGGAGTCATAAGCACCCCAGAGCTAGAGAGAGTAATAACTGAAAGTGATCTTAAAGGGTACTTCTGGGAGGATGACCTTAATTCCACAATACAAAAGTTGCTTGTGGAGACGGTACGAATTGTTTCACCAAATTTACTTGCCTCTTTAGATTTTGATATTCTCTTTTCCATCGATTAAACATAAGCAACCAATGTCCTCCCCCTATTGTTCCCAACATTAACTAGGAATTTGCCATCAACGACCAATTTAGCCAAATTACCCTCAAATTTCCAAGACTTCTTCCACATTTTAGACGTTTTCACTCCAACAATTAAAACAAAAATAGTTCTCCAGATTCCAATCCTTGCCTTATCCAGTAATATCTGATCTTACAATATCATGTCTTCCGTTTTCTCATTTTCAACTTATTTGGATTTGCAGGGTAATGGAGTCGCACAATCCAAATTGCCAAGCTCATCCAAGCAGCCAATCTTAGCCTGTGAAGCTGGTCAGACGAAGAAAGATGGACTTAGTGTTGTCTCTGGAGGAAAAGCTGCTGAGGTTTTGCTAGTCTCTGAGACTCCAGACACCATTACAAATCTCCCTCCTATTGTTGAAACGATACATGAAACCAACAAACATGTCAGTAAAGTTGTCTTGAATGATGAGGTAACTCTCTCTTCCATCTAAAATTATATTTCCTATCATGATTTTGAAGTTCACAAGCAATCTCGAATGCAGGAGGAGGATTCCAAACAGGACCAAAGTTCCTCAATTTCCATGAGTTCAGAAACTCAAATCTGTCTACAAGTTCAAAAGGTTCCTCTAGTAACTGATGACGTAATATTATATCTGGAACTGCAGCTTTTTATACACTTTTTTGTATTTTCTTGAGGTAATGCCTTATACGAAGATCAATTTCCTTGCAGAGTGGGCCTCCACGGGAAAAAGTTATGCCTGCTTCTTCAGTTCAGAAAAGTGGCTACGTATCCCATGCCATTGTGGATGAACTAGGCCCCATGTCAACCAGTACTGCATCTTTTACTGATTCCATCCCAGCTTCGAAGACTTCATCTGTTGACCTAATAAAGGAAAAGTCTTATTCTCCTGCAGACTTTGTGTTTGGTATCACCAAAAATCTTCCTGGTGATTTGGATGCCACCACTAAACCTATAACACAAGAAAAGGCCACCAGAAGCGTTGTGAGGGAACGTGAGAACTCCCAATTGGCCATAACATGCCGAGATTTTCATGAAACTTCGAATGACAAGGTAGATCCTTTCTTAACTAGAAAGGCATTACTAAACATGAATTTTAAGTTTTCAAACTCTTGAATGCAGGAGGATCCTACACAGCGTCAAAATTCCCTTACGAACGTAGATAGTAGAACCCACATCTCTCTGCAATTTGAAAAGGATACTCAGGGAATTGCTGAGGTAATTTTCACTTCTCAAGTAAGCAATATATACTCTTCTTTTTACGTTTTATAACTGCTTTAACGAAGTTAGAAATTTCTTGCAGGAACGAGCTACACCTGGTAATTCAATTCAGCAAAGCAACCCTATGTCTCCCTCCATTACTACTTGGAAGGATCTCGCACATGATTCGCATAATGCTTCGAAAGACAAGGTACGTCTTCTTTTTCTAACTAGAAATGAGTTGCATGAAATGAATAAAAGTTTTCACACTCTTCAATGTAGGAGGATCCTACACAGCATCGAAATTCCCCAACTGCCATGGATACTATAACCCACATCTCTCAGCAATTTAAAAAGGATTCTCAGGCAATTGCTAAGGTAATTTCACTTTTCAAGTAAGCAATTCATACACTTCTTTGTACTCTTTCAGACTTGCTTTAACAAAGTGCAAAATTTCCTGCAGAGTGAACCTTCACAGGAACAAGTTAGGCCTGATTCTTCAATTCAGCAAAGCAACTCTATATCTCCCGCCATTGCTGTTGAAGGAGATGCTACGTCAACTCTTGCATTTCCAACAAAGATTTCTTCTCACTCTCCTCCAAACTTTGAGTCTCTATTTGCCAGCATGGAACAATTGCTAAAAACAAGCCCTGCATCTTCTTCCCAATCAGCTTCATATTCAAACACTCAAGCTGAATCTCACAAGTCCAGTGGCATGAGCTTGGAGACTTATGACTACTCTATGGCTGTGATAAAGAAAATCTTAACAAAACCCCTGGAAGAAGTAGCAAGATCATATGACAGCCTTTCGTTACTCTCTGCTCTGAAGAATCTAAAGAACTGTCCTCTTCTGAATTCTCAGCAATCAGAAATCATTCAAATCTATGTTGAGAATTTTGACAGTTTAGTGACCTACCACCCATTTTACGAGCAGCAAATTGACAGGACTAGTGCACTGAAGTTGTCCATCAAAGATGGGAAAGAGGGAATCACTGAGCTGAAGACCCTTTACGAAGATCTTTCAAGCAAGACTGTCAATCTTATTTCAGTCAAGGAAGCACTGAAGAAGAAACTCCGTGAAATCGAAGAAGAAGAAGATCATATCCAAGAAAAGATGGAGGTTCTCTATGCACAGCTGGTCAATGGGAAAGAAAAGCTGGAAACAGGCATATATGCTCTACCAGAATCTGAAAGGCAACAAAGAGAAGCACAGGATAGGGCAAACGATGCCAATGATCATTGGGCTAAGATTAGAGGCTTATTAGCTTAATCCTTTTTGCTTTCCTTTCGGTCTTGAACATAGTAGTTCTACAATACTTGTTACCCTGAGCCACTTAGAGATTTCGAATATTGCTGTCAACTCAATATCTTGCTTCAAAGTAAAATCTTGATTGCTTTTCTACGAGAATGCATGTTGTCAAATTTCAAAGCTTTTTTGGAAAATGGTCAATGTCAATGGGGCTGAAAATTAACATATCAAGAAGAGGATATTGGATCGGTTTGTTTCGTCGTGCACACAAGAAGACATACAGTTCTTTGGACTTCATCTTCTTATGGACCCATCTGTAGTTAAGGTTTTGGGCATTTCGTACGTTTGGGTTTAGACTTCACCTCATGATATGAGTAAGGTTGAAAGCCTGAATATGGATTTGGTCTTAGGTTCAAATCTAACCTGGAATCCTTAGCCCAAGCCGGTTTATTTTGATCTGGGCTCCCTATATATATATATATATATGTATATATATATTAAAAAAAAAAGAATTAAGCAAAAGCATTTTGGGATTAAAACAAAGAATTTAAAAATTAATATTTAAGCATATAATAAACACCATATAATTTAAAAATTAATTCAAATAAAATATGATAATATTTTTATAATAAAAACCAAATATAAGTAAAATATTAAATTCAAATCAATCATAATTAAAAACAAGAAAAATAAATCAAATATTTTATTAACGAGGAAAGGACATTCAACTGAGGTAGTTTTGTTATTACAGAGAAAAAATAACAGATCTAGTGTAGGTTACATTCAAAATTAATTGCAATTTAGTTCTTATAATTTATCAAAATTAATTAATTAATCCTTGTATAAAAATAATTAAAAAAACCTGACCATCTTTAATTTAGTAGTTTTTCTTATAAAAAAAAATTCTTTCATAGTTAAAATTTTTCATTTCATCTAATCTTTTCCTTTATTCTATTTTTCAGAACAAAATAAATTAAAATCGAACGTAAAGTTAATAAAAGAAGTAAATAATACATAATGCAATTTAGAGCCAAATTTGAAAGAGATCAAATAGATATTTATTACAGATCAAACAGGTGTTACTTGAGGTAGCTATAGATGGCACACAAGTCTGAAGAGGGACCATTTTTTGGCCCATATTTTGTTTCTTTGTGCTTCCTGAATTTTCAATCAAAGGTATAGGAAAAGCAGCCTCTTATGACTACGACTGAGAAAAACAAAAGGGAAACTCCACTCATTACAAACTACCACTGTTGACATTGGAGTCGATAGTGTCATCCCTAATGGTACCCTTTTAGCTTCTTTCCCATTCATTACTGCCTACTTTTTTTCTTTTTTGTTACTGATAACCACTTTCATTCTGTCCATCTTCTAGTGGCTGTCTTTGCTGTTCCCTCAATTTTCATGAATGACCTGTTAAACCTCCTTGCAACCTTGCCCTTTTAGTTTGAGGTATGTTTTTCAATTTCATTTGTTCCTTCATGTTGTAGAAGTTATGCTATTCTCTTTAGTTTTTCTTTGTATCAAAATCTTGGTTTTTTTCAGAAAAAAAGGACAAAAAGAGATATAATTTGCTTCTTTTCTTTCATCTTGATTTTGCAGAACTTTTTAATCATTTTTTCTTGCTCTTTTTTCCTGTATCCAGTCTTATAGAAAGATGGAAAACCAGAGAGCATTGCTTGATTCGTTTATTCTTGATTTTTCAGATTGTGTGTATTGTTAGCCTTCTTTTGCTTACTCCGAGAGAAAACAAGATGGCTGTGGATATAATTCTTGCTGTCGTATCCCCTATCGTTGAGCATGCAATTGGTCCCATTAAAACACACATTTTTAATGCATTATATTGCAAGAGCAACCTCCGACATCTGAAGGAGGAAGTTGATAAGTTGAAGGATGCTCGAGAAAGGTTGCAACACTTGATGGATGAGGAAAGCAGAAAGGGGAAGGTGATTGAAGAGGATGTTGCGAAGTGGCTGCTTGAGGTGGACGGGATCACTGAAAAGCTGGAAAGGGATCTTGTTCAAGATGAGGATCGAGTAAAGAAGAAATGCTTCGTTGGATTGTGTCCAAATTTCAAAACAAGGTACCAGCTTGGCAAGAAAGCAGAGGAGGAATTAGCAACAGTTAAAGCTAAACTAAAGAAACTACGCAACTTTGGTTCGATTTCCTACCATGGTGCTCCTCCAGGGGAGGTCATGTCTGTAAAAGGGTACCAGGCAATGCAGTCAAGAATACCAGTTTTTAATGAAATCTTGAATGCCTTAAAAGTTGCTGATGTGAACATGGTTGGGGTTTATGGTATGGGTGGTATGGGCAAGACCACACTGGTGAAAGAGGTCTCCAAACAAGCCATAGAGGACAAATTGTTTGACAAGATGGTTATTGCCAGTATAACTCGAAACCCAGACATCATGAAAATTCAAGGGCAAATTGCAGACCAGCTTGGCCTAGCATTCAACGAGGAAAGTGAATGGGGAAGAGCAAGTCGACTGCGTGAGAGGTTGAAGCAAGAGAAGAAGATTCTTCTTGTCCTGGATGATTTATGGAAGAGGCTTGATTTAGAAGCAATTGGGATTTCATTTAAGGATGAACAAAATGAATGCAAAATGCTGTTGACATCGAGAGAATTTGATGTTTTATCAGGTGAAATGGAAGTTCAGAAAAACTTCTCAATTAGTGCTTTAAAAGAAGATGAAGCTTGGGAGTTGTTCAAGAAAACAGCAGGTGGTAATGTTGAAAGTCCAGATGTCCAATCCATAGCATTGAAGATTGCAACAAAGTGTGCAGGTTTGCCGGTGGCCATTGTAACTGTTGCAAAGGCTTTAAAGAATAAGAGGCTGTCCGAGTGGAAGGATGCATTGCGAGAGCTGAAAAGACCATCCCCTAGGAACTTCACAGGAGTGCAGGCAGAAGCGTATAGTGCTATAGAACTAAGCTATAAGCATCTTGGAAGTGAAGAGCTAAAGTCAATTTTTCTTATTTCCAGTCGAATGGGCTACAATGCCTCCATTCAAGACTTGTTGAAATACAGCATGGGCTCAGGTTTGTTTTCTGATGTTGCTACAATAGAAGAAGTGCGGGATAAAGTGAATTCTTTGCTTTATAAACTCAAAACCTCTAGTTTGTTACTCGATGGTGATACTAGTAACCAGTTTTCTATTCATGATGTTGTTCGTGATGTTGCCATATCAATTGCTTTTAGAGATCACAATGTATTTGTCAGGAGTGATGAGGTAGAATTGAAATGGCATTATAAGGATTCACTGGAGAGTCATGCAGAAATTTGGTTACATGGTAATAGCATTGGACTTCCTGAAGATTTGCAATACCCACTACTCAAGGTTTTTAACATGAATAGTGAAGATCCTTCCTTGGAAATACCTGAAAGCATTTTTAGGGGAATGCAAAAACTCAAAGTCTTAGGTTTGACTAATCTATCTTTTCCATCCCTGCATTCATCTCTTCATTTCCTAAAGAACCTTCGTTCATTGTGTCTTCATCAATCTTCACTTGGAGAGGTAGCTATTATTGGGGAGCTAAAAAAATTGGAAATCCTTAGTTTTGTTAAATCTAATATTAAGCATCTGCCAAAAGAAATAGGGCAACTAACCAAGTTAAAGTTATTAGATTTGAGTGATTGTTCTGAACTTGAAGTGATTTCACCAAATGTTATTTCTAGTTTATCACTTTTAGAAGAGTTGTTTGTAGGCAACAGCTTTCATCATTGGGATATTGAAGGACAAAATAATGCTAGTCTTATCGAGTTAGAACATTTGTCTCACTTGACTAATTTAGATGTACATATGCTAGATTCCCATGTTATGTCAATAGACTTGTTTTCTAAAAGATTAGAAAGATTTAGAATATTCATAGGGGATGTTTGGGATTGGGATGGTGCCTATGAAACCTTAAGAACATTGAAGTTGAAGCTGAATGAAAGCACTGATCATTTGAAGTATGGAGTTCTGATGCTGCTAAAGAGAACTGAAGATCTGTATTTACTTGAAATGAAGGGTATTAAGAATGTCATTTCTGAACTGGATAGTGAAGGTTTTCCACAGCTGAAGTACCTCCATCTGCATAATAGTCCAGACATTCAATATATCATCGATACAATGAAAGGGGTTCCTGCAAACATCTTTCCATTTCCCATGTTGGAGTCTTTGTTTCTATACAATTTGGTATCTTTAGAGAAGATTTATCATGGCACACTCAACACACCATCTTTTGGCAAACTACGAATGCTAGAAGTGAAAAACTGTAATAAATTGAAAAACCTGTTCTCGTTTTCCATAGCACGGGGTCTTTTGCTACTTCAAAGCATCAAAACTACGTTCTGCCAGAACCTGGAAGTGATTGTTGTTGAAGAAAGTGAAGAATTTGACAACAAGAATGAAGAAATCAGTGCAATGGAGTTCACTCAATTACGCTCCATATCCTTCAAATATTTACCGCATCTCAGAAACTTCTGCTCAAAAGAGAAGACATCTAGTTTATCTCAAACACAATCAAAGTCAACTTCAATTGGCTTGGATTTTGGAGAAATCGTTTTGGAGGATGAGCCACAGACTCCAATGCTACTTTTCGATGAAAAGGTACTTGCACATATGTATATCTTATGTAATTATTCCCAAAAAAAAAAAAAAAAACCGATACTCATTTTACTTTGTTTCTCAAATAATCATTTCATTTCTTCAAATTAAAGAATAGCATTCTTAATGAATTAAAAAATGTGCATGCAGTTTGTGTTTCCGAACTTGGAGGAATTGAAATTGCGTTCAATCAACATCGAAAGGCTATGGCATGGCCAACTTCCAGCAATGACAGTTTCCATTCAAAATTTACAAAGATTGGTTGTGAAAGAATGTGGCAGTTTGAAATATATATTTTCCTCTTCTATGGTTAAAAGTCTTGTGCAACTCAAGCATCTTGCAATACAGGATTGCATGTCAGTGGAAGAGATTATAGTAACAGAAGCATTAGATGAAGAAGAAATGACGAGTAAGATGTTATTCCTGAAA